AATTATTTCAATGTTAAAGCAGATGCTTATGTACATGAACATCTCAATAAAACAATGATCAAATGTAAAAAAATGTCTGCAAGATTATTGCTTTATTAACAGCATGACACGATTTTCTTTTCACACTTCTTTATATTATTCATTCAGGTTTCTTGGTGGCCTTTGTGTTCCATATTCTTTTAACAGCACAAGCTTTTAGAAATAAACAACAGAACAAAGTGAACGATCCATGGGATTAACAAATCTAAGAAACAGTATATACCACAGCATCTGACAATGTCTGCACATCCTTTTCTGTTTGTATGCATGAACCAACATAGATCTGCTCAGTGATCTGCAAAAGATCAAGGATCGAGTATATTTGTTAACATTGGATAAAAATGACAATGACTTTGATCTTTCAGGTTTAAGTAACTTAGTATTTGGCATTGTAACTAACTATTTGGGTTACATGGAGCCACAAAAATTTGAACTTCTGAGGTATATTATGGTCCAGACATAACAGATATGATAAAAAAACACCATAAAGATTGTGTTTGCTTCCAAAAACAGAAATTCATGGATAGCTGGTCATGGATATGAATCAAGCATCGCCTCTTGCTTCCAGCATTAATCAAGAAAATGTGGATTAGCCGTCCGAGGTCATGAGAGACCTGTTGCTGATCATTCATGTGATGATCAGCAAGATTTGGAATAGTGCTAAGCAAAGAATGTTATCTCAATGAGGGCCAAACAACTAAGTCACTGATTAATGATTTAAAGTGATAGAATTGAAATTTTATAATCACCTTGCTATACTGCATGCCAAGTGAGTGGTTATAGTATAACTCGCCTTTTGCTCGATCCAGTGCTTTGATATACTCCTCCAGAGGAAAGCTACCGTAGGCCCATTCAACATCTTCGCTCTCTTCTTCAGAAAAAATACTTACAATCTCATGTGTACGTTTAGCTAATATGCTCCTATTGCTCTGTACTGGGGAATCAACAGAGCCTTCATTTGCCAGAAGCATCCACCCCTCTGACTTCAGAAACTTAGGAGAAAATATGGTAAACCCGGATTCTCCACTTCCCTCAGAACCTGGCTGAAGATCTGTTGCCAGGACGTTCCTATTCCAAGTGGCAAAAGCAACCCGGCCTCTATTAAACAAAGTATGGTAAACTCCACTTAAATGTAATTGTTGAATTGGATAAGGAGAGAATGGTCTTTCAAGTACAAGACTAAATAATCCTGCAATGTCCTTGAGCATCGTCCTGCAAGAAAAATGATGGTGACAAAAAGATAAGGTTATCATTAAATAGTTGAAAAGTGGAAAATTTTGACTCAGTATATGTATGCTGAACTTAATCAAACTTAATTATATTATGGGATAAAAAAGATATATCTCCATTTTTTTTTTGCTTCAATGCAAGAGAAGAGGCCACAGGTAATCGACTTTTAAAGCTTTCGTAGCATATATGAGTCGATACTGTAGACTAAAGAGAGAAGATTATTTTAATTCATCAGTCTGCATTTCAAATAATGTGTGCATCAGGAACATGAAAAAATTTAGATAGCATGTCACAACCCAGGCTCAAAACCATGTGGCCCAAGCCCCATAAAAGATGTACTAAAAAGTTGATCTTCGAGATGGTATTTATCTGCTAAAGGTCTGGTAATAAATATTTAATAACCTTCATGATCTGATCCTTTCTGTCTGTCTTGTGATGTGCACTTTTCAATAAGCTCCATAGCAATTGGAACAAGGAACAATCGTATCTCAGGGGACTATGAAGAAGGAGAAGATCAATCTAGGTTAAGTTTTTATGACATAATATAGAAGAGGGAAGCAATCTGTAAGACCACGAAGAAGGTCAACGTAAGTTCCTCTTGAGATTCGAAGTTTTCATGATATAATCCACTAGTGCACATAATCGAAGTCCAAATGGTGTTAATTGATATCCAGCTATATATGGTCAAAACCAAGTTTAAGAACCTGTAAGGCTGTGTTTGCAAAGTTAAATCCAAAAGTTCATCCAGAGAATGCATATCCAGCGGCATTGGTTTTAACTATTTGTACTTAGTAACCAATAGGCATTTCAATCTATAATCAATGTAGCACAGAAATATGATAATAAGATAAAGGTGCACACACTAACATGCTACATTAATGAAAGACTAAATCAAGTGTGATAACTCCACAGTGTAATGCATTAGACATTTCAGTTTGTCTCCAAACGTGAAAACAAAATAATTGAAAAGTTCAACAGTATTTTCAATTCAAACAAATTGTAGAATACCATACTCTGCATCCCTTAAGTCCTTTATGTCAATGAAACCACCACTTGACACGTTACTTGCCTTCTTTAATGCGTCACCAACCATCACTATTCTTGATTTTTCTGCATTTCCCTTAAAAATAAGAATATGAATATCCATCACTTAAAGTAGTTCCATTACAAGTTCAAGAAAAAGGATCAAAAGAGATGCATGCATAAAAGAAACAATAAGAAAAGAATTCATATATGATTGTTAAGTTTAACTGTTTAAATTACACAAAAAAATAAAAATTCTTAGAAATTAAAGAACAAAGGAAAGACAGTTAATTACAGAGAGAGAGAGGGAAAAAAAACTCATCCTAACATTGAACAGAGTCCCGTTGGATACATTATTTTGGGTTTTGAAGGGTGTCATCTCCTAATAGCCATCTCTTAGCGCCGAAAAGACGGAACAGAAAGGAAGAATATGATTCTCGATTCGCCTATCGCACATCGAGAAGGAAGATAAGGGAAAGATGGTAATACCCCTTTCTTGAGCGAGTGGACGAAGATCCTCCCGTCCACGGAGAGCGCGAAGCGAATGCCCAAAGGCTTCTCGAGGGTGACCATGTACTCGTTCAGATTCATCTTGTACACAGTCTGATCCGCCATAGCCGAGATCCTAACGAGGTCCCGCGGCGCGGTCCCCTTGTTAGCGGCGGCCGAGACAGTCGCGACCCGACCGAGCGATCCACCGACGCGAATCCAAGGGGAGGAGAGGGCGGCGAGCCGATCGCTCCTCTCGCGGAAGGTGCCGCAGCAAGAGGAGGGGGGGAGTTGGAGAATAAGGGCCATTGGTGTGGGTCGGAGCTCGTCAGGGCGAGGAGGAGGAGGAGGAGGAGAAGAGTTCTTCTTCGCAGTACCTCCTCGTGAGTCGGTTACGTTGGACGTGGTGAGGGAGGGACGGAGGGCGGACGAGACGACACCGTCGTCGGTCTCTGATCCACAAGCCACGTGGACGGACAAGCGGGAGGGGGCGGAACGGGACGCAACGGGAAGACCGTGCCACGGTGGCCCCCACCTAACGTCCAGTAGTGCGCGCCGCCGCCCTCTCATGAGCGGAAAAAAATATCTATGTTTAGATTTATTTTTCTTTTTCTCTAATAAATTAACCTCTCTCTCTCTCTCTCTCTCTCTCACACACACACACACACGTCTTTTCAGATCTCCAAAATAACATTTTTATTCCTTCAAACCTGTTTAATATTATTTAATATATATAATTATATGAAAACAAGTGTGAATTTCTAAAATTTTCTTTCCGAACTTTTCTATCCCAATTTTCAGAATTTCTTAACACTATTATTTTCCATAATATATATCTCCTTTTATTTTTTTTTCTTTTTTTTTTATTATGGGACAGTACATAGGGTGAACCGATCTTATTTTTATATTATGCTATAATATTTTTAGTAATAATAAAAAATATCATAATTATTACCCAAAAAATAATATACATAATGTTTTACTAAATTTATAAGAAAATATTTAATTATAGTATTTTTTTGATATTACTAAAAATATTATAACGTAGTGTAAAAACATTGTGACTAGATTAGTTTAGAGGAAAAGGGAGAAAAAAAATGATATTTTAAGTTATTATGAGAAAAATATAATATTCGATACTTATACGGAAAACTCTAAAAAGAGAATTTTTTTCTGAAAATTCATCCTAAAGACAATCCTTATAATATAGTGAAACAGAATATATTTTCTTCTTCATCCTTATAATAAAAAGTCTATATATATATATATATATATATATATATATATATATTCCTTATGAATTAAAATATATTAAGAATATTTTAATATAATGCTTTCCAAACAATTTGGAGGTATTTAGTAAAAGTAGTGTATGGTCGTTTTCTATCATACTCTCTTTCTCCTGTAGTAATTGATGCCTACTTGAACGATTATTATGTTTGAGTGCACTGTTTGCATCTTGTGATCAAATAGCAGTATCCATCTTAATCATGACATATGACAAGTGCACCATCGAGCTACGTTTATATGAAATATTCTCGGAATTGTCTATTAATCATGCATTAAATCTAAGTTTAAACACGTGTCACGTCGAAGCCCTTATCGATGAATTATAATCTCTAAATTAGAAGCGAAATAGGAATCAAACAGGACATCAAATTATTGGCCTCATCGTTGTCATCATGCAGCACTCAAATCAGTGCCTTCACAAACCTTTTCCAGCGTCGTGATCTCGTTGGGCGATGTGCGAGCTGGCGAGCACTCGGCGACTCATTTGCTTCAGAAGTTTCTCTCCTTTTTTTCCTTCTCTAAATGTGGCTTAGATGTTCATTTGCCTTTGATGAAATTATAATGCACAATGGCTAACGTATTTGGTTGATGACAACAGTTCACCTTATTTCCTGTTTGTAGTCTATTCCTTATATATTGCTTTTTAGTGCAAGTTTCTTTCATTGGATTGAAACGTCAAGTACAATTGAATTCCTATGTTCTAACGTGACTCAAAATATCTTTATTTTATTCTACTTCGATTCGAAAGAAGAATATTTTATATACTTAAGAAAATAACTTTGTATAATATAATTTTTTGTGTTTAATAAGTGCCTAATAAGCTCTTCACGAAATTTAAAAGCATAATTTTGACTGCATTAGACCCCACGCATATGCCACATACGTTGTTCTAACCATCTAAGTGTGAATATGAGCACAGTGCAAACATCTACACGAAACACACATCCAACTCCACTGCGATCACAAAGCGTAAAATGAGAATATATATGTCCACTGCATCAACATAATAGCCTTCTCACCACCAAATCGACGACGATCTTTGACATCTATCATTAGAATATTAAACCCCCCATTAAAAGACTTAAAAAGTAGGAAAAAAAAATAAAATTAAAGAAAAAAGGGGAGTTTAAAATGGGTGATGCGTCCGGGAAAGCCCGTTCACATTGGCGAAGAACCCGATCAAATTTTGGTTGTAAGGAAGGAACGAACGCCGGGCCGCGCCGCTCACTTCTGCCGGCCTTTCCCGTAATATACCCGATGGGCGGTAGGTCCGTCCACCTCCGTCGGTTTACCTCCCTTGTCTCTCGCCTTGGCCTTCTCCTTCTTGCTCTCCTCCGACACTGCTGCCACCGCCTCCTCGCCCTTGGCCGCGAGGAACACGAACTTCTCCTTCCCGTCGCTCTGGCTCCGTCCGATCACCAGGTCCCGGAGCCGCCACCGCAGCGAGGACCCAGTGGATCTGCTCTTCTTGCACCGCGATGCCGACGGCGCGGTCGACCTCGGCGCCCACACGCAGTACGTCCCCGGCGGGATCCCCTCGAGCTCGTCCGTTCCCAAGGACGACGAGGATGAGGAGGCAGAGGCGGAGTGCTCCTCGCGCTCCTCGATCAAGAGCTTCCCTAGGGTTCTGCGCAACGGTGCGGTCTTCTCCTCCCCCTCCGCTACGAGGCGGCCGCGATCGTCGTCGCCGTTGGCGAGGAGGAGGGAGCGGTCGAAGACGGGGTAGATGGGGCGGATCTGGCCGTTGGAGAATATCTCGGCGGCGGTGATGGCCGGACCGGTCTCGGGGTCCTTGACAACGAAGGCGAATTCGGAATCGTCGTCGTCGACGTCGGACTCATCTCCGCCGTCCCCCGTGCCGACGGGAGGCGGTGGATCTAGGAGATCGTCAGCCTCGGCGAAGGGCTCCCGGAAGCTGGGGGAAGCCACGAGGACGGGTACGCGTTGCTTCCCTTCCTCTTCTTCTGATTCCATCGCTCTCCGTTTGTTTTCCTGCATCGTCGTTCGTTATGGGCTTCTTTTCTGTTTCCTTCGCTTGTTGTGAGAGCGATTTGGAGTGGGAAGTTGGTTGGGGGAGAGCAGGTGGGGATTAATAGCGAGGAGAGGGAAGTGCAGGGTTGTGGGTGGCGGGTGGGGTTGAGGACGCTGCCTTTCCGGTTGGCTCACGAGTCACACGCGTCGCGGGAAGAGAAGGGGGGAGGGTGGGTGATGGGTGGAAGAGCGTTGAGGTTTCCAGAAGGGCGAGTTCAAGTGGCCCAGTGGCCGTCGCTGCCGGTAGAAGTGGAGGTATAACGGCGCGGCTCTAGGTTTCCCCCCAGGGAGGTATTTACGTGGGCCCCACGAGACTTCCTCCTCTCTCTCTCTCTACGTGCTTGTGAGACATGTAGAAGATTTTAGTGGCAATTCGGAGCCCTACTTTGGGACGAATCACCCCTGAAAATTTTCAGGGGTGGTATGGCACCGAAAATAGGACGTAATCTGAGTTCTGATTTTTTTGCTATCATATTAAATATTTATTAATTATTATTAATTTCAATTCTGATCGCCAACTTAACATGCTATGATCGAATCAATCAACCTCGCTGCTTGGAGAGAGAGCCCTATTTAATTACAAAGAAATCGACTAAATGTGAAATTTTCTAGATCGAAGGTTCATGCAAGATGATATTTCTCCAAGATTAAATCGATAGATGCTTGCTTTGAATATATGATATTATATGCGGAAGTAAGAATTTCCGTACGTTGTACCAAGATAGATTTATTTAATGGTGCTATGATTCAGAGAATACAGCGGCTAAGATTTGAGGTTGATATGCTACACATCATTAGTCTTAATAGGATATGATTGATTAGGATTCATGTATCAGGATTGGTCGGAATGTTGTGCTTCGATAATTTCAGTGACAATTAACATTTTTGTCCTAAAAAAATTACAAGTGTAGAAAACAATCCTTCTGTGTTTACAGTGAATTTGGATTGTTCAGATCGATTCCTCCAAAAATATGTGATCGGCATCGGTATCCTGATGTACTAAAAGCTTGTGAAGTGTCGAGACCCTACTTGGTTGCTCTACGCCCAAGTCAACGCGGCCCCAACTCTTTTTCAATGGTCAATAAGGCTCCATCACAGAATGGAAACTGGTTGACCAAATTGACAGAGTCAAAGCCTACGCCGAAAACATCATCGTATGTTCTGATGCTGGAAATGCTTTACAAGAATTCTTTACAAGATGTGGGTAATCTTTTTCAAAGAATTCTTTACAAGAATGTTTTGATTCTAGCAAGACAGGAAGAGCCCACATCATCTGACACAAAAATATTCTACCTTATCCTAGAGAAATTTATTTTTATTACCAATCATAATAGTTCCAAGAGGATGAGAGGTCCGACCCGAATGTCATTTCTGGACTCCATGAGTAAGACAAGATCTTTTATGATATTAATAAGATTAAGATCAAAGTCAAGATCTGAGGATAAGATGTCCCAATATGATAAGATCAATAATATTAATAAATTTTATTATTATTATTATTATTATTATTATTATTATTATTATTATTATTATATATATTTATATTTATATAAGTCGATCATGTTGGTCCTCCAAGAAAAGAAAAAATTCCATATATAGTAAGTTAATAGTGAAAAATTAGAAAAATGTGGACCTTTCAAATATTTTAAGTTAATAGCGAATAATTTGCAGATATAAGGGGGAGATTGTATGAATATGTTAGTAATTAGTAAATGAGAAACCACTTAGTTAATTGGCAACCAAATCTGATCACGGCATCCACCACCTCTGTTTACATCTACACCAAGTGTATCATGAACCGTTACTGCCACTCTTCCTCTTCCTGTAACATCGTGAAGCTACTCACCTGATGAGGGTAATAATGACGATAAGACTCGGGTGACATCAGCTTAATAATTGTAATAAGATTCGGGCGATAAGATTCGCGAGACGTCAGCTAACGTCTCACGCCTCTATTGACCTGACAGTACCTGGTCAACACGGATCGGAACACCGATCGAGGCACATCAACATCCTGCTCAGGCTCGATCCTTCACGTCATGCCAACACCAATGTTAGATGCTACCAGGAGTACGAGCCTGCCCCCTGCAAGTGGGCACATCAGGAAATAGTAAGCTTCCCTATAAATACCCTCGCGTTCTGAACGGGAATGGGGGGGAGAAGGATAGAGGTAAAAACCCCTTGCGACTACCCACTAACTTGATCGTCGGAGGGGTCGGGCTGAGCTCTCCTGACCCAACCTGCGTGCAGGGATGAAGACGGAGCTCCTCCCCCCGAACACCCAGGCGAGGAACCTCCATCCCCCGGAGAAGCCTGGCGAGCTCCAACGTAACCCGATCAGCATGACTGACCGCCTCGACAACCCAGAAGGATGCCGAACAAGACCCTCGCTCATTCGGACCCGAACCAACCGCGTCGGCCCCGAGGCCACAGCGTAAAGTTGTTATCCGCAACATTTTTGGCGCTAGAAGGAGGGCCGAATGTCGAGGGATTGGCAAATCAACTCAGACGAACCCGTTGCTGGAGGGTGACACCTGATCGGGGCCACAAGGGATCACCCCCCGAATGACCAACCTCGAGAAGAGCACCCTGTCGCGACCTCAGAGTGCCATTGGTGGTTATTCAACGACCCGGGCTGGTCGCCGCCCGAAGGTGCCTTAGTCGACCCGTCGCTCATCAAATCCGAGCTCTGACGGGTATGGTGCAAACCATTATCCTGCTCGTTTCTCATTCGGTGCACCCGCTGCGATCCAATCACTACGGCAACAGGAGTCGCCCGTTCGAGCCCACATGCCACTTCCGGAGCTCCCCACTTCGCCTCGGGTTCGATCGGCCCCACTCGAGGATCGAGTGATGGCAAACCCGAGCGGTTGCCCGTAACCCGAGGCATTATCTTCAGATTCAACAGACTCCCTGCAAGCTCAGCGACGCTTTGTTAGTCAGCGGCTCGACGAAATGGAGAAGGAGGTTCGCAGGTCAAAGGGAGAGCTCGGGGAGGACGCACACCAAGGGTCTCCATTCGCGCCTGAGATACAAGATCAAACGGTTCCCCCTAACTTCCGGCTCCCCTCTTTGGACGCATATGATGGCTCCACCGACCCAGCGGACCACGTAGCCGCTTTCCGTGCCCAAATGACACTGTATGGAACCTCTAACGCTTTGATGTGCAGGGCGTTTCCCACGATCCTGAGGGGGCAAGCCCGCACATGGTACAATGGTCTAAAGACCGAGACGATCGCCTCCTTTGATCAGCTCGTCAAAGACTTCGAGCTTAGCTTCTTGGCCTACGCCCGGCCAAAGCCGTCCGTTGCACTGCTCCTCGGACTCAACCAAAGGGAGGACGAGCCCCTCTCCCATTTTGTGAATCGTTTTACAACACAAATCTGGGAGTTGCCGAACGCTCACCCCTCTCTATTAATGCAGGCGTTTATGATAGGCCTGCGACCTTCCAGATTCCTCTAGTCCCTAGTGGAGTGACCCCCCACCACAGTACCAGATATGCTCCAACGGGCTAACCAGTACATTGCGACGGAGCTTGGGTGGCCGTGAGGAGAAGGAGCGACTTTTGGCAGCGGGCTCCACAGAAGAAGTCGAGCACCCGCGGTGACTATCCGATGTAGTCCTCGTAAAAAGAATCTAGGCCCTGCCTCAGTCTCTTCCGAGCAGAGGCTCAGTATCTACCTGACCGCCTCTCGACTCGCTGTTAGCTCCGACCTAACCCCCTTTTTATCTACATGGCTCGGTCGCAGACTGCCCGAGTCCACCTCAATGCGGCCTGCCCGCTTAAGCCGTGTCCCTCGGCCACAGTCTGCCCGAGTCCGCCTCTGCGCGGCCTGCCCGCCTAAGTCGTGCTCCTCGGTTGCATGTTGCCCAAGACCACTACCTCTGCGCGGCTTGCCCACCTGAGTCATGCTCCTCGGCTGCATGTTGCCCGAGACCACTACCTCTGCATGGCCTGCCTGCCTGAGTCGTGCTCCTCGGCTGCATGTTGCCCAAGACCACCACCTCTGCACGACCTGCCCGCCCGAGTCGTGCTCCTCGATTGCATGTTGCTCGAGACCACCACCTCTGCGCGGCCTGCCCGCCCGAGTCGTGCTCCTCGGCTGCATGTTGCCCGAGACCACCACCTCTGCGTGGCCTGCCCGCCTGAGTCGTGCTCCTCGGCTGCATGTTGCCCGAGACCACTACCTCTGCGCGGCTTGAGTCATGCTCCCCGGTCGCATACTGCCTAGGGCCACCGCTGCGCATCCATACCTCCTTAGTTACTAAACTCCACAATTCCCACACCCCTAGTAATGAACCGGCAACATCCCAGCAAGGATAGTTTCTTAAAGCTGAAGCCATGGCTCGGACCTCCCCTTTTACAACAACCGACGCATAGCTTCCTTCGGAGGGGGAATATGACAAGGGTGATCATGGCGATAAGACTCGGGTGACGTCAGTTGACGCCTCGCGCCTCTGTTGACCTGACAGCACTTGGTCAACACGGATCGGAACGCCGACCGAGGCACATCAACATCCTGCTCAGGTTCGATCCTTCACGCCACGGCAACACCGATGTCAGACGCTACCAGGAGTACGAGCCTGCCCACTGCAAGCGGGCACATCAGGAAACAGTAAGCTTCCCTATAAATACCCTCGCGTTCTGAACGGGAATGGGGGGAGAAGGAAAGAGGTAAAAGCCCCATACGACTATCCACTAACTTGATCGTCGGAGGGGTCGGGTCGAGCTCTCCCGACCCGACCTGTGTGCAGGGACGAAGACAGAGCTCCTCCCCCCGAACACCCAACCGAGGAACCTCCATCCCCCGGAGAAGCCCGGCGAGCTCTGACGCAACCCGATCAGCACGATCGACCGCCTCGGCAACCCAGAGGGACGCCGAACAAAACCCTCGCTCATTCGGACCCGAACCAGCCGCGTTGACCCCGAGGCCACGACGTAAAGTTATTACCCGCAACATCACCATCTACTGACTCGTCGCACTCAGGTGGGCAACTCGGACATGGGACAGATGGTTCATATGAGTAGGTGGCTTATTTCTTATATGATTCGTCTTTTTTTTTTTCTTATTTCATTTTTATTGGTAATTTTGTGATTTTTTTTTCTATTTTAAGACCATTGCCTTCCACACTCAGCTACTTCCGATAGGTGGCTGTACTAGTGGCACGTGTCATCGACATTCCCCGTTGGCTGTACTTTCTTTTAACGTCACATGCTTTGTCTTCTCTGTTCTCATTCCCCCACTCGATTTGTGGATATTTACACGCCACGCATCTGCGTGGTGGTAGTTACGCCTATCGAGAGGCTCGCATCGCATCGTCGTCATCGATCGATCGTGCCGGGTCGGGTCTCTTCCGCGCATCACGCGTGGCCCTTCGCCGGCTTCCCGCGGCGGTTCGATCGGGCCGGCTCAAGGACGAGCACCTTGTTCTGTGGACCCCTTCGCGGCATTTGTGGGACTCGAGCCGAGCCGAGCCGTGCCGTGCCGAGGTCAGGCGGCGCTCGCCTCAATAAACACACGTATGGATCCTACGTTATCACCTACGCGCTCACCTGAGTGGATTCGGCCGGCACTCCCATTGTCTGTGGGCCCCGCCCGTACCTGCCGGCATAGGTAGTTGAGACAGGTCGGACACGAATGAGGAAAAGGCGTTATAAGGACGTTTCCCACTATAAAACAAAAAAAAGTCGATATTCCAAACTCAAATTCAAAAAAATATCGAAATACTATTTTTTTTATTTTACTTTGATTTGGTCATTTAGAACAATGGAATCGCTCCGAAAACAACGTCCACGACATATGACAAAAGTGAGCGAGATTAAACCGATGGGTTGAAGCCAAGAATGGGATTCTCAAATTGATCGAGCGGATGAATCCTGCCGGCGTGGCTGAGCTTTGGATGGAGGCAAAATTTTTCTCTTGACTTGGCTCGGAAAAAAGAAAAGCTCGGTCGTAATATAAGAAAATGATTCAGCCAATTGACGTGAGCCGAGCCAGCCGAAATGAAAGCCGCTCTGCCTTTACGGGGTGTGAACATATCAAGGGTCCCTTCTTTATATAAGCGGTAGAAATAAGGGCCTTTTTGTTTTCTCGCCAAGAGGAAGAGGAAAACCCCCCACCTTAAAAAGATCAAACCGGAAGGGAGAGGGAGAGGGAGAGGAAGGGGAGGAGAAGATGGGAGTGCTAAGGAGCACGGAGAGCTTGGAGGCGGAGATCGAGGAGATGCGGGAGGCGCTGCTGCGGAGCGGCGGAATCGGGAGGGCCCATGTGCGGAAGGCGGGGTCGGGAAGCGTCCAGCGGAGGGCGGACGGCGACGGCGGAGTAGGCGACGAGCGGGCGGTGTGCGTCACCGGGGGGATCTCGTTCGTCGGGTTCGCCGTCGTCAACCACCTCCTCGACCGCGGATACACCGTCCGCCTCGCCCTCGAAACCCAGGGTTCGCTTTCTTCCTCCCATCCCTCGATCCATCTCTCTTTCTCTCACACGCATTACCACCTGATTTATCGATCTTAACCGTCCGATGCTCGTCGATCTCAACGCCGATGCTCTCGATTTTTTTTCCCCTCGTTCTTCTCGACTTCCTCTCGACGGGAGACGGAGTTGCTTTAAGATTCGCGAACGTGCCCGATTTGCCGTTGGCGGTACCCTGAGACTGTCATTGTTAGTGTTGCTTTCTTCGACCACTTTGGGCGATAGCTACTCGTCACCTTAATAGTTATCTTGACATTTTCGCAGAATTACGAATTGGAAACACGTATGCCACCAAACGATGCGCTATATTATTTGCCTTTTGTCCAAACAAAACCCCGATGGCAGATGGAGTGGGGTCCATCGTGACTTCCTTGCTGCTGCTGCTGACTATGCTGTGTCTGCTGGTCGCTTGGATTGCAGAGGACATGGACAAGCTGAGGGAGACGGAGATGTTCGGCGAGATGGGCAGGGACGGGGTGTGGGCGGTGATGGCCAGCGTGATGGACTTGGAGAGCTTGTGCCGGGCGTTCGATGGGTGCGTCGGGGTCTTCCACACCTCCAGCGTCGTTGATCCGGGGGGTCTCTCTGGCTACTCGGTGAGCCGCCATCCCTTTTCCTTGTATTACCACATATAATAGAAACTGGGCGTAGTATTTGGCTTCCAAATAGCAGCGTATTCACCTACCCATTATATTATCGTATACTTGTGTTGTCATTATCAAGTTGACAAATGCATCAATTCTTGTATTAGATTTGGAAAAGAAGCAACGACTTGTATTGGTTTTTAGTCTGCTTCAATCGTAGTTTGAACATGAACATGGTTTAGACCCTCCTCCATGCCATCCCTAGGCGACCTTGATCTTTCTCCGGATGTCCTCATCTCCTTTGTGAGCGTCCAACTGGGAAAGGAAAGCTTTTGTTTTCATCTTCGTTGGATCAAAGCTTGTGGCAGGTAAGGAGGTCACATTCTTTGCATGTGAAACTAATCTTTGTTGTGCTCCTATGAGTCTGCAGAAGCAAATGGCCCAAATGGAGGTGAGAGCAGCCGAGCTAGTGGTTGAAGCCTGCGTGAGAACCCAATCGGTCAGAAGATGCGTCTTCACCTCCTCGCTTCTGGCTTGCGTTTGGCGAGAGAACAGCACTCCTCGAAGTAGCCGTCGCCCCACCATCGTGGACGAGAACTGCTGGAGCGATCAGAGAGTGTGTCGTGATAAAAAGGTGAGAGACTCGCACAAAGACAATTGATTCTCTCCGGTCTCTATCGAACGCTTGCCAATTCAACCTTCACAAAAAAAGGGCCACGAAACTCTCGTTGGTTCCTTTCGAGCATGAGGTTTAAATGATAAAGAGGGGGCTCCGATCAACTGTTCCATTCAGATAAGAAGCTATTTGTTAGAACGCAATCTACCACCTGAATTGATCTTCTTTTGAACAATGGCAGCTATGGTTTGCGCTGGGCAAGACAATGGCAGAGAAAGCGGCATGGAGGGCGGCACGTGGGAGGGATGTGAAGCTGGTGACCGTATGCCCCGCCCTCGTCACCGGACCTGGTTTCCTTCGTCGCAACTCCACCAGCTCCATCGCCTACCTCAAAGGCCAGAGGCCACTCCCTCGCCCATCTCACTGTCGCCTTCTAGGATCCTACATCTCATTCCTTGGAAATGCCTGCAGGAGCTCAAGATATGCTCACGGAGGGACTGCTCGCCACCATCGACGTGGAGAAGGTAGCCGAGGCTCACGTAGCTGTGTACGAGGCAATGAGCAGCACCGCTTGTGGGCGATACATCTGCTACGATCATGTCATCCGAAGGGGCGAAGAGGCCGCCGAACTAGAGCGGCAGCTGGGTCTTCCGAACAGGGTATCCAGGGACGCCCACGCCGATTGCCCGACATGGGTGGAGCTCTCCAACCGGAAGCTCTCGAGGCTATCCTCTTCCAGGAGGAGGAGGTGTACATACGATATCTACTCGATCTCGCAGGAGTAGTAGGCCTACACATTGTGTACATTCCGGGAGAAGCACATTCGAATACCTGATAGGCTCATGAATGCACCGACATGTGTGATTACTGGTGCTCGAAACCTTTGAACAGATAACTCTGCTACGATATCAAAGACGTGGAGACTCGAAAAGAGTTGCGTGGATTCCATTACATATATAACACTACTTCAGGAGGGATTAGAGAGGAATCGGTGCCCTCCGGTCGTCTATCAAGCCTGCTGTTTGGCAGGGGCATTTCCGGCACTCCGACCTACGTGTCTTCCCTAATTGCCCCTCCCCTGAATTCCCGAGAAGGACAACCAAACCCCCAGTGCCCGATCTGATACAGCTCCATCCACACCTTATCAGCGTCAGATCGTTGACCTCCGTGGCCATTCTCCCCCTCCGTCGCTCCAACGTCAGCCCACCGCTTCATCTTCTCCGAGCTCTTCGCTTCCCTTCCCTCGACCACCACCTCCCTCCTCATCCTCTCTACTCCTCCCTCATCTCTCAACCTTCGTCTTCGCGAAGCCCCCTCTCTCCTCTTCAGCATCCCCAAGCATCTCCTCGACACCGCCCAGGGGACCTTCACCAAGGCCAAGGCGAGCACGTCGACCACCGCGCAGGGACAGCAGCCCAGCGCGACGCAGTCGGCCACCATGACCGCGGCGCACGACCGGCACGACGCGCCGCTGCACTCCACGTCGTCTCCGGCCTCGTCGGGCGACGCGAAGCGCAGCCTCCTCGGGGCCTCGCTCTTCGACCTCCCCATCCGTCCACCTGCTTCCAAGAGAAGAGAGACGAGGACGACGCAAGCTGGTTCGACGTGGAGTAAATGGCGGCCTGCGCGCGGTGTTCCAGATATAGACGTCAGGAGGTGCATGCATTATAGCGTACATGATCCCATCCCCATGATATTGCCATGGAAGGGAAACATGTCGAGTAGGTTAACACAACCCCTCATTGACAGCACTGTCATCACCATCGTCCCCACACAGGTTGGTGCCACTTGGAGTAGGTGCTGCAGTCCCAATGCTTGCAAGAGAAAAGCTATCGAGCTGGTGACTGCAGCAGCGACTGCGGGAAGAGTACCCATCTGAGAAATGGAGCTAAAAGCGATAGCCTCAAGACAAGGCATGCAGTGTCACCATTGAGGCAAAGCTGCAGTCTGAAGTCTGCAGAAAGTGTAGACTTAATCCGGTATACGGTGATCATATATTTGGTAGGGAACAGGTGAGTCTGATGAATCGATTATGGGAATGGATTTGATGTGTCGTACGTTAAGCACACGGTTTGAGGTCACTCGAGTCCTACATAGCATGTCCTCCTGTTCTTATCATCAAGATGAAAAGGGGAAAGAAAGGCTTTGACAGTCCCATGGATTCAAACAAATGGTAAAAGCCTTCCTTATCCCTTCAATCCAGTGCTCCACTCTTGTCAAGTCGGCCCTACACGCTAAAATGGAGCAAAGAGGAGCTTGTGGAGAGAGGAGGAAACAAAAGGTGGTGTCAACCTGTTTCATGCAAGTCCCAGTTTTGATCGAATGTGTCATGTCTTCCTTTCTTTTCTTCTAGATCGATCAGACCAGGCAAATCAAATAGATTCATTCGAAGCGTGCAGCAAGTTGTCTTTTGTCCCATGATCGGACAAGTTCATCGAGGCCATGCATTGTATTGTTTATATGTCGTGCATTGAATCGAGCCATATACGATCGCACGCTTTATGATTCGTGGAAAGGCCTACATCAACTCGTTGGATGACGAGATGGGACAACACCAGTGTAACGAGAGGAGGATGGTATGTGGACGCTGTCCCGATTCGATGAAATCGCGCTGTTGCGGTGAGCTCGAGTCGGATCAGATCGCATAGGAAGAACGAGTCGAAAGGGGGAGTGCTTCTCTCCTTCTCCTTCTTCTTCTCCCTGTGATAGAGAGATCAGATCGCATAGGAAGAACGAGTCGAAAGGGGGAGTGCTTCTCTCCTTCTCCTTCTTCTTCTCCCTGTGATAGAGAGATCAGATCGCATAGGAAGAACGAATCGAAAGGGGGAGTGCTTCTCTCCTTCTCCTTCTTCTCCCTGTGATAGAGAGATCGATCTTATCAGCGTGTCTTGATGAAAGAGGTACAGTATGATGGGTTGACTCGTCCTCTTGACTCGGTGAATCGTGTTCTCCGGTGTCTTGATGACGTGGATGTGAACGAATGGATTCGAGAGCCAACAAATGCGAGACTGTAGATTGTAGAGGACAGGTGGAAATTTAATTTGTATTTGTTTATTTATTTATTTTGACGGAAGGATTTCGATGTTTGTAGATTTAGAGCAGATCCGAGTTCGACCTTCGTGGGTCCGTGCTTTCAGAATGTGGGGTCGACAGGCTCTCAGCCAATGGTAAACGACTGTTTCGTATTTAATCGCCCGGCCGAGACATTGAATCTTTTTGGTTTTTGACTTCGAGTGCTGCTGAGGGAAGAGTGTGGATGAATGAATGGCTGTGATGAGGCGGCAGTTTTATTCTCACACGTACTCTCATATTCAATTGAATGAATTATATATATTAAAAAACATGAACGAAGATTTTTTTTATGAATTTTAATTTATGAAATATTATTGAGTTTGGTTTTTAAAAATATTTTAAATTATTTTGAAAAAAATATTTTTTCTTATAAAAAACATGAATGGTTTGCCTCTTATAATTTTAACTTGGTCGAGTTTTCAAAATATATTTATTTATAGACCACATTTTAAAATTAATTAAAAATAATATTATACTAATTCATCTTTTTATGTTATTAAGGTTCTAACAATTAGTATCAGAACCACATTCTTTTATTTTGATTAATATCTAAGAGAAAATAAATAATATTTTTAAATAATTAAGAAAGATATTTTCTCACGCGTACTCTCATATTCAATTGAATAAATTATATATATTAAAAAACATGAATGAAGATTTTTTTTTATAAATTTTAATTTATGAAATATTATTAAATTTAGTTTTTAAAAATCTTTTAAAATGATTTTAAAAAATATTTTTTTAAATACTAAAGCTAAACTATAAGTGTTTTATTTTGTACATTATATAAAAATAAATTTAATTAATTTTCTACCTATTATACTGATATATAACACCTACATGAAGTGAAGACACAAGTTGAACTAAAAAATTTAGATTCATATTTTAATTTATAATTATAAATTATTTAAAATAAAATCAAGTAAATATATTAATATTATGTATATCCATTTTATGAATGTTGTTAATATATTAAAAACTCTTGGTAAAAACTATACTAATCTTAAATTTGTGAATAAGATTTTAAGATCTCTTATTAAAAATTAGGATTCAAAATAACGATAATCTATTATAATATATTCAACCTTAACTTTAGATAGCGCGATAAAATTTTACTTCTTATATAACCAAAAAAATAAATACATGACTTAGGAACTAACAAATCAAATAGTAGCTGCCTGCACCAGAATCACCTATGTCTTGTTTGCCGACATCGTGACTCCAAAGCTCGATCCTCGGATACATGGGGATGAAGGTGGAGCACAAACGTGCCCTACGCATCAAACAATCGTCACAGAAAAAACAACATAATAAAGCGGGGTTTATATAAAACCTTCGGAATCCCCTTTTCGAGAGAACTTGCAAAGACCCACAAAGCCAGACATAGACATTAGAAGCCTACTATATATTCTAACTTCTGCTCTATCACTTGAAATCTTTACTTGTCATGATCCAATGCAATAAGCAGCAATCTTAAATTGTCACAACCCAACCTGATGAGATCGTTAATTTCGTTAACCTAAACCACTATAAATCAATCTTTCTCCTAGCTTATAAACTCCACTCATTTAAGGACTTGATGCACTTGTCAAGACTCAACATATTCTCTTAGCCTACTTTCGATAAAAGACTAATCGAGGTGTTATAAACTCCCTCACCCCCCCCGGGCTTGACGTCTTCGTCAAGACCCAACATAGCCCAGATCAAACCCACCACGATGTATATGAGGCATAATCCAATGGTAATTCCTTATCATGATACGTCTTATGACCCATTCACTAATAACCCTTTCCTACTCGATCCTTACACATTGCCTCAATACTAGATCGACCCTAATATCAATTATCATGGGATAATCAACATGATAACTTCGTTGAGTCTAAACTACTAATTTAAAATACTTAAATCAAAATTAATAACAATATACCTATCAAATCTTTATAAATCAATCTTTGTCTATAAATCAATCTTTGTCTCTTTGTCTTATCTCACTTTCGACGTGAGACAGACTGATCGAAGTGTTACATTACCGACTACGAAATGAGTTTGTATAATAGAGAAGTCGATCATGCACAAAAGAAAATGCATTTGCTAACATGATCTGCAATTCCTATCATGAGGAAGTGAGACCTCAAAACACAGCAAACATGAGGAAGTGAGACCTCAAAATTCTAAAGACTTCCACACACACACGCACACAAATACTGCACACTTTTCAAGATTACACGATCTCAACAAACTCAAAGACAAACTTTCGCAAACAATAACAGCAAACAATCATCTGAAAAATAATTCTACCTTAGTCTCGTCACATCCATATCATAAATAAGAGGATCTAGCAGTTTAATGAAACTGATATGCATACTTCTTTTCAAGATTGCACGATCTCAACATTCTCAAAGACAAACTTTAGTCATCCGAGAAGTAATTCTACCTTAGTCTCCATCAAATCCATATCATGAATCAGAGGATCTAGCAGTTGATATATCACCAAAAGTCACATTAATGAAACTGATATGCATCCTGAATGAATCAGCCTTGCAAGAGTATTAAATGGAGAAATTGTTTAAATTAATCAATTAATCTCATAGGAAATTGCTGAAAAATATTTCAAATCCTAATCATTACAAGGGCTGACATAATCAAATTCATCAGGTGATCTATCCTTTTGAAAGAATAATAAAAAATTATGTACATGGAATATAATTACCTTAGTAGTATACAAAGCAATAGCAATATGAGACACATAATACCAACACATCATAGGCAAAAATACTGCATGCTTTCTCAATCATTCTCAAGGCATTGCTACCATCCGACTTTTGTGTGAATCAATATAACAGATATTGAAAAATCCAATAACAGGTTCACCACTAAACAGAAGTCAGATCTGAGACGTAGAAGAATGTGGATTATCTATGTGATTACATGGAGATAATCATGGCAAATATTTGCAGGCCCGTATTTACTAGATGCTGGCATCGAAGTCCAATAATCATTTTCTAGTCACTTAAAGTAGAAAATTAAATGCTGGAAGAAGTTCTTGTGCCAGAAGATTTATACAAAAATATGCAACCTTAGATTACACTTTATTAACTCATGACATTTCAAAGAAACTATATTGTGTATGAACTAAATACCAAGCCTAGGTTAATCCCCTGTGTGACATGGAAGGTCACTGCACCATATTCCTTATACAGACGCATAAAAGAGACATAGAAGTTCTAGGAATGGATATGTGACCTGTAACATGCACAATAGCCTCCAGCAGCAACTCATATCTAAGGGCATTTGAAGTTATCAACAAAAAACAAATGAATTTTGGTGTCATATTATAACATGAACTGCCCACCAGCTAGTTCTGGACTCGTATCCTGATGATCATGAAGGCTTAAATTGATAGGTAAATTTCTCAGTGAAAATACCAAAAGGAAGCTCCCATAATTACATCAATATATGTAGTGAATGTTGTAAGCCAACATAGACAGTCTATGTGCTCTCAAACCAGTCTACAGTGTCATAATTATAAAAACCGTAGAGTAGAGGATGAGGAGACGTATGATTATGTAAACTAAAATTAAGTACTAACAGAAGGTCCAGTAAGAAGCTTATCAACCTTCTTCAGAAGGCCATCCATCTCATCCACTAGATTATCTGTTATCTCTGGCCTCAACATGTTGGAAGATCCTACATCTTTCTCAGCTTCCACGAATTCAGTAAGCTTAGAAATCATCCTCTCAAGGCTCTTCCTTATGTATGGAAGGGGAGTTTTCAGAACGGTGGATGTTCGCAATTGAGAGCTTATATTTCCTGAAAAGTAATGTAGCTCCTGTTTTGTGACCGCAGATTCCAAGGATCCACTACCATCTAAATTTTTTAAGGCCTTCTCTGCATCCATGCCTCTCTTAAACGCAACACGAATGCAATGAGAACCTTGCAAAATTTCTGTATCAGACTTGTCTAAAGGCCCATATATACTGAATCTTGAGATAATATCACCTTTAGATGGCAAAGCAGTTCCAGGGGCAAATTTCAGCAGCAGATAAGCAGGAGTTTCATAGTTAGTTTCCTCTTTCTTTTTCTTTGATCTATCTTCTTCAGAAGAACTTGTGGGTTTGTGTTCCATCTCTGAAGCTGATTCAGGTTTACTGCCACCATTACCCTTGGTCCTCCTGCCCAATTTATTAGGTTCAGCTTGACCAGCAAATCCAGCACCAGTATCTAATCGAGTTTCAGCATCAGATGTATCATTGCCCTTGTTTGTTCTCTTCCTCGATTTACTTCCTTCCGCATTACCTCTGAGTTCATGATGCAAATCAAATTTAATTTTAGCACTAACACTATTTCCTTTGCTCATTTTCCTTTCCTGGGCATAGTTAACTAGTTTTGTGCCATTTGCACTACTATTTTCTGTGGCCATTGAGATTTCAGTACCAGCTTCACCATCACCATGCTTTATCTTCCTTCTCTTTTGAACTTTTCCTGATTCAGTTGGAATATGGCCGTTTGGAGTCTTATCACCAACCAAATTCATTCTCTTATTCTTCTTCGCATCAGTATCATCAATTCCTGAACTATTATTCATGTAGGCCTCCGTAGACCGTTCACCATTGCTACCCAAATCATCGAGGAACTTTTGGTCACTATGGAAGTCAGAACCATCTGAGTAAACAAAGCTTCTAAACTTTTCTAAGAAGTCCCTGACAACACTGGCCGATTGGTTCCATTTCCTTGACAAAGGGTCCATAGCTGCTGAGAGGAACACTGATAGGATGCCACTAGTGGAACCCATATCATGATTAGATGCAGAATCAGTCTTACCAGCTTCCTTTTTCGAAACCTGATTAATGTTCACTATATTTTGAGGGGATCCAGTAAAGGATGATTGAGAAACTTCAGCACCTCTGTTCAGACTTTCTGTTGGCTCATAGTTGAATGAAACTGGGCGCTTATGATATGCACTTATATAAGTGTAGGGAGGTGATAGGTACTTGCTTCTTTTGCGTTCCCGTCCACTGGACCTTGTCTCTTGTTCAGCTACAACACCATCATTCTTCACACCAGAGCTCTGGTTTTTCTCACCCTTGCTTGCTTGTTTATCAGTTGACAATGAGGGATCAGGTTTGTCCATGAAGATAGCTTTCTCCTCTTGAACCCTAAGTACACCATTTCCAACCTCAGAGCTTTTGCTTTTCTCACCCTTCTTCTTTTGCTCTTGGGAATCTGATGATGACGACGGACTCAACTCATGAAAGCTAGCGGCTTTCACCATACTACGATGAGGTTCTGCTATTTCGGAACCTTTATCTGCAATGAGTTCAGCAATACTTCTCTCCTTCTTCTGCTGTGAGACCTCTGAAGTCCCTGGCCCTCTCCCTGCCCTGTTAAATCCGACTTCGGATTCCACTTCAGTGTCGTCAGAAGCCGGACCATGCAGCGGATCATCCGGATAATCCTTCTCCAGAAGGTCGGCTGGACACTGTGTCACGCGTCGAAGAGTCAATGCCCAGCACCGCAGCAACACAACCTCAAGCATATCAGTACCCAAAACATCGCGAGCAGCATCGAGTAGTCGCTCATGGAACTGGGCAGGCGAATACTTAGCGACTGAGCGTTTGCCAACCCCTTGCGCGACCTCAGAATTCGAATCCGGCGAACAGTAGCAAGACATCTCCGACCCTAACTGCTTCTCCGTCTCGACCAAGGCATCCTTGACAGCATACACAAAGCTAGTGGAACTACTCTGCTCCATCATCTGCCGGAATTGTTCCTCAAACGGCTTCAGCTGAGACGGTTCGAACCAAGCAACGGCGGCATCGCCAAAGGGAGCAACGAGGACGGACCGACCCCCGCCATGTCTCTTGACCTCGCCGGCGTGCAAAGTCGCATCGAGGACCTTCCCTGGCCACCAAGCGCGGATCTTGAACTTGGCCCAAACCAGATCCCCAGCTCGAAACGAGCCCCTCCCAGCTCCTCCTCCTCCTCCTCCTCCTCCCACCGTTTCAGGAAGTGGGGCTGCGACCATCGATCGCTTCTCGGTGTCGGTGGAAACCCTAGCCCCGACGCGGCGTCGAGTTCTGGCAAGGGGAAGCTCCGCCGAGACCGTGGGTTCGGCAGCTTGCCGGCGTCGCTTGGTTGCTGGGGTGTCGGGTGGCTTCGCCACGGGCGGAGAATCCTCCGCCAGGGTGTCTGCGTCTTCCATCGGCGAATCTTCTGGCGAGAAATTGACCTATGAACACGATACTATGTGGGCAAAGGGAGAGAGAGAGAGAGAGAGGAATAGAAGAGATTGGGAGTGAAGAGGGGGGCGGTGCGCAATTGCGTTTGAGAGTTTAGATAAACCCTCGAGGTAGGCCTCCCAAGGGGACCCACGTTCTGGTGGATGGGGAAGATGGAATGACAAGTCCAATGGGATTAGAGGGTGACTGAGCGGGCCGTGATCGGGCGGGACGGAAGTTTACGCCCTCTTTTTCTTCCGGAAAGTATTGAGACCAAATGAAGGTGGACGTGGGCCTCGGACGGCATCCAGAAGTGGTGACATCTCCACGTGGCAGAATTGCGACCCATAACTATAAAAAGTTGGGATCAGGCGAGCCTTGCTGCGGAGCGCCGGGCACCCGCCGGCTTCTTGCGCCAGTCATCTGCGCGCACCTGTCTCGATCACGTAGAAGTTGGAATGGCCCGTAATCTATTCGTTTCAAGAACGAAAAAGAAGTATAATGAGAGCAAAAGAACATAGCGAAAAGATGCAAATCATATTTTAGATCTGAGCAATGATATTACACCAAATAAATCAGCAGCGCAGCAGATGAGTGCATTTGGTGAAGAGGCAGCGCAACGCCACACGCAGACGAAAAGGTTGTAATGCTTCACATGGCAAGAATATGATTCTTTAAAAAGCCAACAGCTTGTTCTGCCAAAGAATAAAAACCCCTGATATGATGCCCAAGTGGTATGACAACAGATCCCAGAAGCAAAGCATTACACATACATCTGGAAAACTCCAGCTCGAAAAAGAAAAAGGAAAGCAAGAAGAAGACAACAACAACAAAAATACTTTCACGATAATTGAGTTCTTCAGGTTCTCTAGCTGCCATTTGTAAGTGAACTGCTCTTGCTTGATTGAATGTATCCTGGAAAAAGAAGAATACTCTGTCAGGCCTCAAAGAGTGTATGTATAATAAACCAAACACTGCTGGTGTCCAGATTTGAAAGCAAAAAAACAATCAAAATTCTCATTGTTGAAGCCGTCAAATAGGATAAAGTTAGGGGTAGAATCCTGGGATCGAATCACATATTCACAACTTATCCTTTACATAAATAAAATTCTAGCTGTTCTCGGTGTAGTCATATGGATAGCAAGAAAGCTATTTTACACACCAAAAAAGACAACAGTATCTTGAACCGTAGATTTTTGTTTGCAACTTCCGGATCCAGAAAAACCTCGCCAAATATGTTTGTTAGGGAGGCGTATCATATGGATTGAAAGCAAAAAATATCCATATTATCTAGACTGGTTAGGGGGCATAGGACTCCCTTTGCACACTTCACAAGGGGTCTTCAAACCAATTCAACTTGGCTATGTTGGAAATATCCAGAAGGAGATTAATCAGGAAGATACAGATTGTCAAGTAAAACTACTCATCAAAGTAGTTGTTCCAACTCATTGATCTCTCAGCAAAAGATTTTTCAGCAATCAAGGTCTATTAGAAACTTTAAATTCTTTTCCCAAGTGGAGAATTAATCAGTGTCTTACAATGGAAAGTTCTCCAATATGTCCCAAGCATATAAATAAATCCAGGCCATCTCTATATTCATTTAATGGAATTCCAACCAAATGATTATTCCCAGAGTTGACACAACCATCAGCACTAAACAAGACAAACATTTTAAGGTTGTCCAAATTCATTAGAGGACAGGCATACAGCTTTTCTTCTTACCTTAGGGACAATATCGACTCTGAAGTCTGTTCATCAAAGCCGATTGTCATGTAATATAAGGTCAGCTTTCTATATGCACTCAACAGAACAATGAGACGATTTAGTACAGTCAAAAGAACTTGTAAGAAACAAAAGTTCTTGACTTCAGTGTTAAATTCCAATCTAAACTCCATAAGCCCCGCCAAACACTCTTGAAAGCATGAGGCGGTGAACGTAGCTTGCATCTTTGGCATGCAATCCAACATTATTAACTAATTTTCATTTAAAACCACATTATATCTTTAAACATCTAGTTCATTTAGAGTTTATAAAAGATAAGAATTCTTATTTAAGATGTAAAGCAAAGCAAGGGCATCACCAGAATCTGTTTGCCAAATTTTAAGGTTTACAAAGATGCAGGACTATTACTTGTAATGCAACTACATTTTCCCTTCCAAAACATGTCCTCTTCAAGATTTTAAGCATATTAGACAGCTTAAAGTATGTAACAAGATGAAGGGAAAAAATTATTTTCAAATATTAATTCTAAATAGATTCATCAAGCAACCATGTAAACTATAGATAAAGTATGCAACATTACACTCAAAAGGAGCTAACATCAAAGATGACTTCTAAACAGATTCATCAAACCACCATGTAATCTATACTGGCTTTGATATAGAACACAATAGACACAAGATAAAAAAAAAGAGCCGAAATTGTCAGCCACGATGAACATAAAATGATATACTTGCAACTACAAATAAGTATACTTGCAAATTATAATTGAAACTTACCAAAAACTAAGGGATGCAAATTATGAAACTCAAAAGACCAGAGGGAAAGCTATGATATAATATAGCGAGATTAGTTCAAATTAATTGAATAATTACTCAAAATGACAGTACTAAATTACTCATATAACATAAAGACAAGAATAAAGAGCGGTGCAAAGTAAAATCCCTACAATCACTAAACAGAGTATAAGAATTCATGACTAAATTCAAAATAAAAGAGTTTAAATACATAATGAGAGGAGAAGCATAAGTTGTACAACCCTACCCATGGAATTCTTCGCATCCTCTGTTCAATCCAGGGTTCACACGATGGAGATCTTCGCTCCGACTTCCTCGAGCTGCTTCTTGGCCTCCTCTGCCTCCTCCTTCGACACGGCCTCCTTGAACTTCTTCGGCAGGCCCTCGATCAAATCCTTGGCCTCCTTGAGCGGCAGGTTCGTCAGCGCCCGGACCACCTTGATGGTGGCGATCCTGGCGTTGCTGGGGACGCCCTCGATGACCACGTCGAACTCCGTCTTCTCCTCCACGGCAGCGGGGGCCGCTTCGGCGGCGGCTCCGGGAGCGACGGCGACGGCGGCGGGGGCGAAGGCGGCGGCGGAGACGCCGAGGCGGTCCTGGAGGTAGTCGACGAGGCCGCGGGCCTCCTCGAGAGTGAGGCCCGCGATCTTGCTACCCAGCTCCTCGATCTTGGGGGATACGGCGGCGGGAGGGGAAAGGGAGACGGCGGCAAGGCGGAGAGAGCGGAGGGGGAAGAGTTGGGAAGGGTACTTTAGGGTTTGCGACGGGGCGGAGGAAGAGATGGGGAAGCCGGAGGAGGCGATGTAGTAGGAGGCAGTGAGGGAGAGAGCAGCCGCCATTCCCTTGTGCTTTCGGAGCGAGAGAGATCAGAAGAAGCGGGAGACGAAGCGGATCAGGCACGGCAACAGCAGCTGCAGCAGCTTCGTTTTCTGGAAGACATAAGTCACCGACTCAAACTCGGGTGGTATTGAACCGGAGCGGCTCAGGCACTACCCGGTTTGAGTTGGGTTAAGACCGGCTCACACGCTCGATTTGAATCGGGATCTTTATGGTCTAACCCAACCTTAGTCAGCATCCAACCCAATCCCGATTCGATAGCATTACAGACCATGTCACGTACATCATAAAAACTGATAACAGATGTATACTCTATACTCAGCTGCCTCAATCCAAACCTAACCCTTTCATCCCTTTAGATAAATCAATTGGGCCAAGAATCACCATTCATCAAATCCACTAATGTCAACATTATATTGACGTCTAATGGGCTGGAAACTAAACCAAGCATTTAGGTCGCATATAGTTTGTCTTGTGGGCTGGACGTTGACTGGACTATGCTTGTCTATACGTACGGCTTTGTTCACAGTGGATTGGATGTTTCTTGTGGACCGGAAGAATGGTGATGGAAGTGCTTTGGATGATTCTTTTAGGACTCTCGAAGTACCAACCGACCAAACCATAGATTTGAAGCACATGCCAAGAAATGGCTGCCACGAATCCGCTGTTTCTTCTCTTTCCAAGTCACTCTCAAGTACCGTCCTCGAGCCTCACCGAACCTATGGTCTCATCTCATTCCAACTCACAGTCCATTGATGGCGTCCTTGGTTCTCTCAGCGGAACAAACGTGATGCAAATATCACATCCACTTCCCCATCTCGGACGCTTTGCTTTCTGACAACACAGGGCGGGCATGGAGTCCATCAAGCCAAGGCACCCTCCTTTCCCAATGCGGTAACTTCACATGGCGGCCATGGTGAAGTCATCGGCGCATCCATGGAAAGAGCCAACCAAACCATAGATTTGAAGCACATGCCAAGAAATGGCTGCCACGAATCCGCTGTTTCTTCACTTTCCAAGTCACTCTCAAGTACCGTCCTCGAGCCTCACCGAACCTATGGTCTCATCTCATTCCAATTCACAGTCCATTGATGGCGTCCTTGGTTCTCTCAGCGGAACAAACGTGATGCAAATATCACATCCACTTCCCCATCTCGGGCGCTTTGCTTTCTGACAACACAGGGCGGGCATGGAGTCCATCAAGCCAAGGCACCCTCCTTTGCCAATGCGGTAACTTCACATGGCGGCCATGGTGAAGTCATCGGCGCATCCATGGAAAGAGCTGCCCAACCCAGCGTTAACTGCCCCAATACCGCATGTGTCGCAGCGTCGCTGTTAGCAGCGCTGGGCCACTCGTACGCCTGTCCTCGGCGTGCACGTGCTGCATTAGCCCGGTCGGAGCCGTCGTCTTCCACCGCCTAATAGTTTGGCTCATGTAGAACACTGATGGCACTCGGCTGCACACCGAAACGGTCGATCCTTCAAGTGCATGCCCGAAATGGCTCGTCGCGTTAATGGCTTCCGTCGGTGGTGGATGCCGAGTTGCACCGGTAGGCAACGAAGAAGCGGTAGAGAGCCCCCATTTTTCTCTCGAGCTGCTCTGCTTTTAACCTCTGTTCTCTCTCTCTTCTCGATACAGTGACCAACATGACGCTGACAGTTGTTAGCTGACGCAGATAGTGCAACGAGTCAAACCATCATGTTCAGGTGTTGTTCTTCAAAATCTCGGTCAAGAGAGGACATACGGGTAAAGGTTTGCTCATAAATAATAAGTTTGATCATTTGTGGTTTGTACAGTAGCGTACGAGTACTGCGACTCCGAACCACGCTAAACGTACACATCTCTATACCATAAACATGGGGTGATTCATTTCATGTAATCGTCGTCGGGCAATTGCATCGACCAGAAGTCCTCGAAGGTCCAGAAGTTGTAGCTGGACTCGGCGGGGAATTGAGGGTCGACGCCGTCAGCGGCGGTGGCAGTCTGCTCATCGGGGTGGCTCGGCTGATCCCTCCCATCGTTGCTGCTGTTTGTCTGGCTAGTGCCAGCACCAGATTCGTCCGTGAGCATGGCGTTCTGGAAGTCGTCGGACTCGCTCCGTTTCACCCTCTTCTGTATCCTGGTCCTCCAGTAGTTCTTGATCTCATTGTCGGTCCTACCCGGCAGTTGTCTTGCAATTTTCGACCACCTTGGTGGAGAAAATAAAAAGGCATAATTAGTAGGATGATACAGGTGAGAGAGATGAAGAGAAGAAGAAGAAGACGTCTGTGTTGATTCTGTTTATTGGACTAGTGCTATATCGCATGCAGTGGCTTTCTTGGCCGAGTTCTGTCTCCAAGCACATGTTCGTCTTGTCGAAGTGATCATGCAGCATGTTTAGACCATCAAGCTTCCAAACATGCGAAAACATGGACGTCATCGATCGATCTTGACGTTGTTCGTTGGCTCACCTGTTTCCCCATCTCGCATGGAGCTCCATGATCAGGAGCTGCTCCTGCGGCGTGATGTTCCCGCGCCGTAGGTCCGGCCTCAGGTAGTTCAGCCACCGAAGCCGGCAGCTCTTCCCAGTTCGGTTCAGGCCTTCACGCACGACGAAGAGCCGTAAGAGGCAGAAAAAGGAAAGGAGGAGGAGAAGGGTCGGGCGCAGATGCGTACCTGCGGACCGCGCGAGGTTGTTCCAAACGCCCTCGCCGTGGTGGGCGATGTAGTTGACGAGGATGAGGTCCTCCTCCATGGTCCATGGCCCCTTCCTCACCTCCGTCTCCTGGCTGCTGTCCACCCTCTTATCGTTCATGTTGCTGCTACCTTTCCTGTCCATGGCCGGAGAGGAGGGGCAAAGGGGGGGCAGATAAAAAACCAGGAACGGGAGAGTGGGGATGGCGAAGGAGGTGAGGAGATTGTTTGGGGGCTTTATAGAGAAGACAACGAGTGGGTTGTATCGCTTGTCATGATTAACTACACTAAAACAGCAGGGTTATATGCACAAGGAAAGTACTGCTGAACAGCTGCTAGATCGACTACATGTGCAAGCCAAGGAAACGAGTGTGTGTTAATTGCACACATAGTCCAAGTATGTCATCCATCTTGAGTGTCGAAAAAGACGAAGCAACGCTTACATTTCTGCACGCATGCGTGTGCATGTGCGAGGGAATCTTGTTATTCTGCACCGTTGGGCCCGACCTTCCGTAGCGGCCTATTCACAAACACCTGGTGAGCACAACACGAGTGGCCCCGGTATTAGAGGCGAGACATGCACGATTGGTTACAGTAGAATCTTCGGTAGGGAATTTGGTTTGATGAAAGTGAGCAACCCAATCCCAATTGCTATAAATCTCTCCTATTTCTCGAGAATTTTATGTCAAGCAAATTCTAAAAAATACCACCTCAATTTTTTTTTTTTCTTACCACCTCTCTTTGCTTTATATCCTTATAGTATTTCTTGTTTTATATAAGGTATAATTATTCCTTGGATCATTTTTGACCTTCATGATAATATTATCACTATGGTGAGATCTCATGGTGATAACCTATATGATGATGGCCTCGATCATCTTTCTCTCTTAAATTTCTTAATGAAAGTATTGACAAAGAGACGAATACAATTATGAAAAAAAATAAAATAACCTATAATAGAGTGATGGGATGAAAGGAGGAAATTCCTCGACATGCTACGAAGCCCACGTTATAACAATTTGTATAACTCTGCGATGATTTTGCTGTCTCTCCTGATCTCAAGGAGGGGAGGGAGCAGGATATAGTAGGATAAAGATGACATAGTACATACTGAACTTATGGTGAGTTTAGAATTGGTTGGTATGAACTACTCCGGATGAAGTTTTGATCATTGATCTCTATAAAATAATTGATGATGGACATGTAGTAGGATAATATCGTTTCTTAGAAAATAAGAGGTAGAAAAAAAAAGTTGGGTTTTTTCTTGGAATTTGCCTTTTTTGTCTTCACGAAAAACCAACAATATATAATATAATATAATATAATATAATATAATATAGTATAGCATAATATAACACATAATATCTGTTATAATAGTCGTAACAGGAACATAGGATAAATAAAGCGCTCACCGTTATGTTTCGCGCGAAATCGAGAGAGATCGGGACTAGCCTCCTCTCGCCCTATCACGGCCGCTCCTCCCGCCATCGGCATCGGCCGTCTCAATCTTGGCTTACGTTGTACTCCACTCGTCGCCGGCGACGTAAACTGGACCAGGTCGGACCATTTCTCCTCAACTTCCCTGTAAAGTGAGTTTTGTGGATCCGCGGATGTTTTGAATAGTTAAAATTGCAACTCTTCGACGCTCATTCCGCCGATAGCGATCTCGCTTACTTGGAAGAGAGAGTAGTTTCGATCCCTTATGACCTACTCTTTTGATGGTGCCTTCATGGTTTAACTCCAAGATAATTTTACTTCATTGATTTGAAGGGGAAATTGGGCAGCCCCTGCAGTTGGATTCTGGAGTTATCCAAACCTCATCACTTGGTTAAGGTGAGTAACACGTTAGTAACAGTGAAACTTGATCAATTTGGTTAGGGTTTTTAGGTTGTAAGCTTTACCCCGTTTGCTTTTACTGTTTCTTGGCCCCTTCGAAGGCTTAGGTCACAGTTGAGCAGTACTTTTGGTGATTAGGAAGGGATCTACAAGTAATGAGAGTTGTGAAGGCTGGCATAGGATCTACTGTTTTTTTGTAGCTGTTGGCATTGTAGGTCGGGTTATGTACTATATGCATATATCAAGGCACAGAAACTGCAAGTCCCCTTGGTTGCTCATGGAATTTATACTTTTTTTGGTGTAGAATCTGAAATTTACAGATATTTTGGCCTGCTATCCAAAATTTGTTGTATACCCAAAAATTTAAATCATGCAATTAAGAAAACTTGCAAATTTACTATTAATATCTACCCAGGAGTAGAAACATTAGATAGAAACTGAGTATAGAGAGGAGAGCTTTGCTCTGCCCTAAGGATTCTCGCAGAGGGTTCTGCATCAATTTGTCCCGAGGTATAACCCAAATCTCAACTACTAGCCATTCCGGTTAAATCATCCTCGTTCAACATGTTCTCAACTTTACATCTAGGGACAGGAAACCTGACTTATCAAGAGGGAACATCAAACTTCTCAAGCTTCCTCCAAAGAAATAGTGTAAAAAAATAAGGCTGTTTCTTCTTTATGAGTATCTATTTATTTGTACTAGAAAAGCATAAGTTGATAATAATGTAAAGCACATTATTGTAACACATGACTCACAGATGGAGCATCAACCTGAGTCTGTAAGGGCAACGATTAAAGACAAATGTGAGATTACCAGAGTCATACCTTAGCATAAAAAAACACTATTCTGTTGGAAATAGGCTAGGGCCCTATTATGCAATAAAGATAAGGCAACATATGACATGTTGCACACCAAAATCCTATGTTGAATCTGTAGTGCTCGAAATAATCACTGCTTTTCATTTTGGACTATATAACTTGAAAGGACTTCCAAGTAGCTTAAGACAAAAAACTGAGTCAAGAGCTTCTGTTGGAAATAGGCTAGGGCCCTATTATGTAATAAAAAAATAAGGAAATGCCCAACATGTTGCGTAACCTAATCATATGTTTAATCTGCAGTTCTTGAAATAACCACTGCTTTTCATTTTGGACTATATAACTTGAAAGGACTTCCAAGCAGCTTAAAGCAAAAAACTGAATCAAGAGCTTCATAGCAGTTGTCTGTAGAATTTGGCAGATAAAATTCTTGATGTATAGTTTCAGACTGTTGCTGAGTTTCTTCTTTTTGACTCTTCAATTATTACTGTGTGTAAAAAGAAATGCAAAAAAGTTTTCCTTTGTCTGTAGAACTGGTAATCAATGTTTCATATACTGGTTGGACCAGTACAATCCAACCAATATACCAAATTGGCCAAGGACTGGTGTCAGACCACTTAGATCAATTGCGGTGGGTGTTCTTTAGTGATACCAAGTGATATAAGACAAGTATATCGGTACCATGATATGATGAGTTGTCAAAACCAATATTGAGATTTTAGACCTTGGTAGTAACTTAGATGGCTCATGTGAGTGTTTTTTCTTGAAGTGTAATTTTGTGTTCTTATAAATTAAGACTTATAGGTTGCCTTTTAAAAGAAAAATAGTCCATCAAGAATGGGATTTAGCTAAATTATAGTTGTATTCTATAGAAAAGATTATGATATATATGGATTTAGAAACCTAAAGCATTTACGTTTATTGTCTTGACAAATTTGAACTACTTTGCTAATGCCTAGATTTGCTTGTGCTCAATTTTAGATCATGGTAAAATAAGGGACTAAAACTGCTATATGTTTTTTATAATTAGGGGGAAAACACATATATCCCATGACCAAGAGGATGCAATACTAAGCACGTAATAGGCATTGAAAGATGGAGAGTCCAGAGATGCACATTTAATGAAAGATATCAAATTCCTTATGTCTATCACAGTTTCTCTTGTTTCCTCTCATCATTTTGTCCTAGGCAACAGAGGGTGCAGGTATGTAGTTGATTTTTTGTTCCGACATGGTCCCCATAATCGAAGTAGACCTCAAGCAGGTATCCCCTTCTGGAACGGCATCCTCTTCTTTGAAATCAAGAGAGTCATCATTGTAAATATTCCACCATTTTGCTACTAACATCTTAATATCCTCCCTATCCATGTTAGCTTCCTTTCCAGTAAACCTCCAGGGCTTGGAACCCTAAGTCACCATCATTAGAAGCAATGATAAGGTAAATATGAATTTTGTGCAACTAGTGGGAATATGATGCTAGTACTTGGGATAATTGACCAATCGCAGCACTTACCGCAGCACAGTAGTGGACCACCTTGACTTTTCCAAGCTCAACATTTTCAGGGTGACGCCATAGCATGGCTAGAACCAGATTGTAGACAGGTGGAATTGGCTTGTAGATTTTCTCAAAGTACATGTTCAAGAAGTCCTACCAAAATAAGGTCAGAAAGATGTTGAGAAACACATGGTTCAAAAATTTACATCGATAAATTTAATTCCATTTATCTTCAAACGTTCTCTATACAAAAACTTGGTCGTGATAACCCTACAAATGTGAACCACCAATATCATTATCATGTTTGTCACTTTCCCTATCTTTGTAATATTTGTAAAAGCTATTATCTTTGAGGAATATTCACGTAAATCACAATAGAAAAGGCATGATGTAAAGAATGAATATATGGTCAGTTTATGCCACTTATAGTTGTCGACTGATGAAACTCTATAGTTGTTGAAGTTCTGATTTTTAAATTGGCCAGAGTTTATTTGCATTTCTTATCAAGTTATTATTATATTGTTCATGCCTGTGGTTAGAGAGTACCCATACATCTTTAGGGATTGGAGCAACTTTCTGGACACAGGATAAATGACTCTATGGATCTTACATATGGAGACAATGTACATCAATGGACGTTCTATAATGATCAATTCACATGATGGTTAGGCTGTGTCAGATTTGCAAAGCCCATATTTTATTACTTAGAGCATTATGGTATTTGTGGTTCCTCAGATGTTCCCCTAGACATGGATATCAATTAGGCAAAATGAGTAAATGAACTATAAAATCTACTATACTATTAGTTTTTGTTCTAAACATAGTCTGTAATGGTCTAGGAGCTTGTTTCATCTTTTTAGTTTCAATTTTTGGTTTTCAGGAAGATTCTTTCTGATCAAGACTAAGTAATTTTCTTCTCTTACCAGATTTACTTTACAACACCACAAAAAGAAGTCCTAAAGTCATAGCCATCTGGGACAGCTACTAATTATAGCTTCAGATTCAATTACAAATTCCCTTTTACTCTGTATGTTCTATATTGTGTATCTACCTCCTAAAATCTTAAAACCAGGTGCACTAACTTCTGAATATATAGCTTTTTGAAGCATAGCAGCAAGAGACTCACCTGCTCAGCAAAGGGAGTTGGAGGTGTTATCCTGAGAGCTTTAAGGAGGCTATTGTAAGTTGATTGAGCCGGTTCAGATACAAACATCCCAGCATTGAAGTACAATGGTGGAGGGGATCCCATCTCAGCAGGCCATGCCACTTTGTCTGGGCACTGCTGGCAGTAGCCAATCGAGTATTGTCGAGAGTGGCTCCATGTCTTCTCGCAGAAGCAGTCCATCACCGCATAGAAGTAGCCATCGGGCATGTCGAACAGGTGGTCTATGTTTTCATACACTTGGATATCTGCATCTAAATAGATGATCTTGCTGTACTCCACAAACTACAATTAGCGGCAGCCAAGGAGTTTCCATCAGTATGTAGATACATCATTCGTATAAATTCTTTTTCATAGAAATCTAAAGTTCAGCTTATTTTTAGTGATTCATGCAGATATACCAGGAGACAGGAAGAAATATCATGAGTATCAACCTAAAGAAGTATCGTTTGGCTCCCTTACATTCCAGATGCGCAGCTTGGAGTAGTTGATGACATAGTAGGCCATGGCAAACTGCACCTGGTTCTCAGGCGGGTGAACAGGTTCGATCTCCCGGACGATGCAACCTTGGGCTTGAAGCAACCGGCGGTGCAGTTCAGGCACATCGGGCAGCACCGCCACTATCAAGGGGTAGCCACTCTTCACCTTTCTGAGGCCCTTCACCAGCCCCACCACTCCCTTCACGTAGTCACCATCTCCCGCCAGGAATGTCACATAAGCCCTCTTCTTCACCTGGTCTGTCAGAGGCGTGGATGGGAGTGTGCCTTCAGGAGTCTCGGATGCCATGGAAACAGAGACCGTGTCGAAGGTCTTGGGTGTTGTCCTGAACGGGGAGGCCTGTATATTCCTATGATGTGTGGGGACTGCATGCCACCTTAAATAGATCAAGTGAGTGTTCTAAGCTCTCTGTCATCTTTATTTCTCTTCTCTTGATTATTTTTTCAGAGGACTGTAGAGGACCTATTAAACTTTTTTTTTTTGGACTGTAGAGGATGATGACGGCTTTCTATTGGCTGATAATTCATGTACCGATTTCAGCTAAATGAACGGCTACAGATCATCCAAAATGTTGTGGTGCTGGAGAATGAATGGAGAGGTTTGTGTTACAATATACATGGGAGAGGGTTCCAGTTGCACTACTATGGTAAGAATATCTTCTTGCTCTGTCTCTCTTTTTTTTTTTATATAATGTTTTATTTCTCTCTCCTAGTATTTTAAGCTTTGCTACATATCTTTCAAGGAAAGATGGAGATAATTGATGTATCCTCCTACTTTAATTCCACAAAGTTAATAGGTCAGTTATCTTATCGATTTGAATTATGTTAATATTAAAGGATCTATATTTGCAACATGAACGAGAATCAAGTCTGAAATCATCACCATTGGTTTTGAGATTTGTGTAGAATTGACACAGGAGGACCTTATGATCCATATTGAACAGGAGATGTTCCCATCCTAAATTAAATTACTGCCATATGTATCAAGTTCAAATTAAATTTATGCTTTTTAACATTTGATTTGACTCGAATATGCATTGTTATTTAGAGATTAATATTAGGTTTTCTATAATCATCGAGTTCCAAACACCTTCATCTATAAGGGTCTATTTGAGACATGTCATCATCATTTGATAAGACACAGTGTCCTTATGTTCATACTGCGACTTTGTAGCCGTTCCTGCTAGTGAATGGGAGCAAAAACAAGCATCGAATCCGATAAGATCCAATGCAAACCGGACACTTCCTTCGACGCGATGGACGTACTCCGTGTGTTCCGTTGTGGCCGGCGGAAGGATGGATTAGAGCGTCAGGCGGGTGCGACGCGTCGAGCAGTTGGTGCGCAAGCAGCAATTAGCTTGCTAAGTGGGTTGGGCATTTCCGCGAACGCCCTCTCAGCTACCAACGCGGGACAGCCTGTGCACGTTGTTGCGTGATGCTATGCTTGGGATGATCGAAGGCCGCCAGCACTACAGTCGAAGTAAACAAACTAAATCGTTCAGATTCCAGCTTTGCTGTCAGTTATCTTTTCCCTTCTCCCGTCTCTTCTCCTTCGTCTTCCCCTACTTCTGCTCTCCTCGCGTTGGCCAGCCAAAACAGGGGCGCTTCCCTTCTACTTCGAGCATCGAACTCGGTTGACCACGAGCGGGCGAGGGAGGGAACGACGCCCCCCATGTTGGTTGGACTTTAAAGACCGCGGCTTTTGTCGAACACCGAAGGCAGTTTTGCGCCTATTTAATCTGTTGGAACAGAGGGACCTGCTTGACCTAAACGCAGGTAGGCGAAGGGGATTAGAGAAAGGGAGGCCAGGGGAGACGTATCCGCGGCCCCTCTCCGGATCGGATCGCCTCTCTCCCTATCTATTTTTGGATCAAATCTTGTTAGATCTTAAGCAAAAGGATCGACGATGGAGGGAGGAGGAGCGGCGGGGGCGGGGCCAGGCGGCCGTGATCAGGCTTCGTCGCCGCCGCATCGGCGGGAGAGCCGGCGGCTTCCGGACTTCTTGCAGAGCGTCAACCTCAAGTACGTGAAGCTGGGTTACCATTACCTCATCACCCACCTCCTGACCCTGCTGCTGATCCCGCTGATGGTGGTGATCCTCCTAGAGGCGGCGCAGACGGACCCCAACGACCTCCGCCAACTGTGGCTCCACCTCCAGTACAACCTCGTCAGCGTACTGGTCTGCTCCGCCTTCCTCGTCTTCGGCACCACCGTCTACATCATGACGGGGCCTCGCCCTGTGTACCTCGTCGACTATGCGTGCTACCGCCCCCCGCCCAACCTCCGGGCGCCCTTCCCCCGCTTCATGAAGCACTCGCAGCTCTGCGGAGAGTTCAACGAGTCCGCGCTCGAGTTCCAGCGCCGGATCCTCGAGCGTTCCGGCCTCGGTCAGGAGACGTACCTGCCCAGCGCCCTACACTATCTTCCGCCCCGCCCCTCCATGGCCTCTGCCCGCGAGGAGGCCGAGGAGGTCATGTTCGGCGCTCTCGACGCCCTCTTCAGGAACACCGGCGTTAAGCCCAAGGACATCGGCATCCTCGTCGTCAATTGCAGCCTCTTCAACCCCACCCCGTCCCTCTCCGCCATGATCGTCAACCGCTACAAGTTCCGTGGCAACATCAAGAGCTTCAATCTCGGTGGGATGGGCTGCAGCGCCGGCGTCATCTCCATCGATCTCGCGCGGGACCTCCTCCAGATCCACCGCTCCACCTACGCGGTCGTTGTAAGCACTGAGAACATCACCCAGAACTGGTACTTCGGCAACCGCAAGTCGATGCTCATCCCCAATTGCCTGTTCCGAGTCGGCGCCGCCGCCATGTTGCTCTCCAATCGCTCGGCGGATCGCTGGCGCTCCAAGTACAAGCTAGTCCACGTCGTTCGCACCCACAGTGGCGCCGATGACAGGGCCTTTCGCTGCGTGTACCAGGAGCAAGACGACGCTGGCAAAGTGGGTGTGTCCCTCTCCAAGGACCTCATGGCCATTGCCGGGGAGGCGCTTAAGATCAACATCACCACCCTTGGTCCCCTCGTCCTTCCAATCAGCGAACAGCTCCTCTTCTTTGCGACTCTCGTGGCCAAGAAGCTCTTCAATGGCAAGGTGAAGCCCTATATCCCAGACTTCAAGCTTGCCTTTGAACATTTCTGCATCCACGCTGGGGGAAGGGCCGTCATCGATGAGCTAGAGAAGAATCTGCAGCTCCGGCCAGACCATGTGGAGGCTTCCCGGATGACCCTGCACCGGTTTGGCAACACGTCCTCCAGCTCCATCTGGTATGAGCTTGCTTACACTGAGGCAAAGGGGCGGATGCGGAAGGGCCACCGGGTTTGGCAGATTGCCTTCGGGAGTGGCTTCAAGTGCAATAGTGCTGTGTGGCAGGCGCTTTGCAATGTGAAGCCCTCTCCAGATGGTCCATGGGAGGATTGCATCCATAGGTACCCTGTGGAAATTGTTGATGGGTTTCCTCCTCAGCCGCCACATGAGCAATAGTGGCTCTGCGAGAAACTTGGCAAAAGGCAGAGTGCAATCTGGTTAGGCAGTTCCTTTGACAAAATGTCAGGTTATTTTTCACTTAGGTCTCATTGATACATTGTTTACTGTGTCATTTGATCATGGAAACCATGAGGTCAGTTGTTTCTTGGTACTGTCTTTAGTGTCTATCTGCAAGCACTACAACAGATGAATTTCTATTCTTGCACGTCAATATTGTGAAAGCTAAAGGTGCTATGCTCTCCTATGCTATTTGATTCCTCTGCTTCCAATTAGTTGGGTTAATTTACCATAATATATGTTCCAAATGAGATGTCAAAATAGGCATATGATTATGCACAATCTCTGTTTGGTTTGATGTCTCACTGTGTGGTGTCAAGTCGAAAATCATTGTCCATGATAGTTGTTTTTTGTTTCTGCAAGATGGTAGTTTGCACTTAAGAGGAAGTTTGATGCATGGGCACACAACCCATGCAGGACATTAAGAAAAATCTTTTTTGAGTGTAGTTTAAGTTAAATGTCTTTATTCTTCAGTGTACAAAGTCATTTTTGTTGAATCTAATTCTGATTCTCTTTATCCATATCTTAAAGTTTTTTTCATTCTTCAATGATATACTAATACCAAAATGATATTTATTTCCCCAGAAACTATATATTTCTGTTCATCAATTTACTATTAGATGAATTTTGCTTGCTGCATAAAGACATAGTGTCATCAAAGATGAAAAGTATTTCAGTCAATGTGTTGCTAACTACTCATAGATCTGTTGTGTTTCAAATGTTGCACATATGATCAACTAGAAGGATTACTTTAAACATTGGTAATGAAATCCTGGTTCTTTTTTTTTTCCGGCACGGGCATCTGAACTGTTAGAGGATTATTAGTTTATATTTTACAGTCTAGTTAATTTGGATAATGAAGTTGATTTAGCTTATGGTAATGCATAGTAGATGTCTTGTGTGACATGGAAAGCTCAAATGTGTTCCAGATCTATGGAAGAAATGTACATACTATCATCCAAAGTCCTTATTCCTGATTCCTGGGAATGACTGTTTATTATAATTCCCTTTTTGTTTGAATAGCATTTCTAATTGACTTGGATATTGGTATCTAATGCTAATCATTCATTAGTATCATGAAGATAGCTTCTCAACACATGAAATGATGTGTTCTCCTTTTCTTGGTGATTTTGTATATGCTTCTTTTTATACAATGGCAGTAGCTTTTTTTTAGTATCTAGATTAATAATTGATAAATAACAACTTGTATTATAAAACTTGGAAACAATAATCCTGTCATATCTTATGACACCAAAATGAAGCCTGCTTATGTTATCACTTGATAAACTAGTCTTCCTTTGGTAATATTTATTTTCCTAATGCCTTGTTTGTTCAAGCCATTTTTATTTTCCCTTTTGTGGATGATTCGGTTAACAATGTAGACTAGAACCAGTCACATGCTTATGCACATAGTGATCTTGGTATCAAGCTTCTACTATATGAGGTTACTTTGGTAATAGAAAAGTGGACATAACTAGCATTGCATGAGAGACGAGGGAGGGAAAAAAGGGAAGAGGCAGGGGTTTGCCATAGTGGACAAAGATTTGTTTGAGACATGTGCAAGAGAAATAAGCTAGGTATGTCATGTTAAAAAATATAGAAGATTATCACATGCTCCACTATACATGGATATGTAATGTTAGAAGATATGATGTCTTGCTACTGCTGTTTTAGGTACTTCCCTCTTTTCTTCTTGTCATTCTTGTGGGTTGGTCCTCTCAATATCACTACTTCTAGCAAATTATACAAGAAACCTCATTCCACTTTTGACTTCAGTTTGTTGCTATTTTTTTAGGGCAGTTGAAAGATCTAGATTGGTTTATATCTAGTTTCTTATTCTTGCTTTGATCATTCTATATGAACTGTGTTTCCTCTGCAACTTACAATAATGAGCCTTTTGTGTCCTATTGTTGTTTGTTTGCCCTATATTCTTGTTTCTTTTCCTTAAATTTCTTGTATGCTCATTCATAGCAGGTAGGTTATGTAGGTTATGAAACACATTGTTGCTGAGACACAATTCTCATGTTGTTTTGTATTATTATGCTCATCATGATCTACGTTATCGGGAATAAACACGAAAGAGGAGAGAGACATGAGGTATCTTTTCTGTTTTTTTGTTTTTCTTTTTTGAGCAATCTATGAATATGATGTGTTCGATCATACATGTTGGCCCATCTAGCATCCTTAGATGAGGGATCCATTGATTCTTAATTTTATTATATTAAATAGCCTACATGATGTTCACATGCAAATTCAAACTTGAGATCTAACACTTGTGCAATAATACATTAATCAATTCGGATGTCTCAACAAAGACTTAAGTAATTTTATATTTGTATATTTTTCAAAACAGTTTCAACTTCTGTTCTAAAATCGTTCCTTCCCCTTATGAAAGCCTTTATGTTTTTTTTATACTGATTTCTTAACTTGCATCTCCAATATGTGAACTGATCATCTTAAAAGCTTTCAAGTTAAGGATACAAGTGATGTTCAAGAAGATTAGTGGCTAATGTGGATTTTCTTTCCCTTTTTTCTTTTTGCATACCAGTAGAGGTACAGATTCTGCGTGTGTGAGCTCTTTCATTAGTTACTTGTATGAATGGCCTAAATAGTATTTTCTTTGTTTTTTCTGTTATTTATATTATTTTTATCGTCCAACTCCTTATATTTAATGTTAGATGTTGGAAATTTTTCTTGTGAGGTTGCTAGTTTAAGTTGATTTATACTTGTAGTTAGTCATTTAGTCATTGTTGTTTCGTTACATACATATTTGGTGAGATTGATGACCACTCTAAAGGTGCCTCATCAAGTAAATTAAAAGGCTAAGGTGCCCGAGGACAATCGGTGACATGTTCAGTTCGGTATGTCGGGATAGACCTACAAACTGGAAATGCATCCGAGTTTTCTGAAGTTTATAGCTTATTATTCTGGTTATAGATCAAATTTTGGTTCGTGTATGAGTCTATCATAAGTTTGTCATCGGAAATCTAATAGAGTTGGCGAGGGATCTTATAAAAAATTAATTAGAGATATATGTATTTTTAGAATGTTCGGAGAAATATCTCAAAAAAAAAAAAAAAAACGGAAGATGGGATAACATAAGAATAAAACACTTATTATCATTATCGTAGAGAATCAATCTCTCTGAAATTTTTTATGATCCTTAACGAGTTACAATAATTCAGAATCCCATAAATAATTATTTTAATAAATACTTGATAGATAATATAAATTATTTTGAATGATTATACAACAAAAGATTTGATCCATCGTAATTAAAAATTTATATAAAATATTTATATAATACTATTATGAAATAAGAGAGTGAGCAATTTTGTACCAATCATGTATCATCCTAATAATCAATGAATATATTGCACTGAATAATACTCTGAATTAGTTACTACGTAAATTACACATAATTTATATTTATAAAATTAAAATAATCATAAAAAATTAATCAAAATAGCATTGTAAAATATATTCATATTACTGTATAAAGCATAAATAAAATTAACAAACACACACACACACACACACACATATATATATATATATATATATATATATATATATATATATATATATCGAACATGTTGATAATAATGCCTATGACCTCACAAAAACGCCAAAATGCCGTATGACCGACCTCACAAAAACGCCAAAATGTCGTATGACCGACCCCACTTATCAACACCGATCATTCTAGAAGTAGCGATTGGCATCTTAGGTTGACAAGATTCCAGGGAATATGAAGGAGCGATTGGCATCTTGGAGAATATTCCAGGGAACATGAAGAATGATTCGGTGGCCGCCTGTCCCCTCTCAAGTGCTATGGAGCTATACGTCGGCCGTATAAACAAGCAGTTAAAAATCAAAATTAACATCATGGATCATCACATGCAACCTAAACGAGTTCAAGAAATCTCGACCAAAATACTAGAAAGAACTTGCGTATGAGATCACGCTCGTTCCGGCCCATCCAATTTTGTCGTCGTCAAGGTCGGATTTAAATGCACTAGGAAGATGCAAGCGGTTAGGGTTTCTTCACGCCTTTGCGCCCAAAGCACTCGGCGACAGCCGAAGAGGAAGAACCGAACCCAAAACAAAAGAGAGAGTCTCAACCGATACAGAAGACGTCGTCGAATTTGGGGGACTGCCGACGGGCCTACCATTTTTAATCTTGCCTTGCCATCATCGACTCGCTCGATCACACGTCGCGGATTAAGCACAGCCGTCTCGCATCCACAACGCATCTTCCACTCCTCGCATCGCCATGAACAGCTCCATCTTGATGAGGACAAGCCTGTAATTGTTATTGTATACATTCAAGGAGGAGACAGAATATTCCGACGAGAATATCCATTGTGCTACCTGTCTCCCTCCAATCTACATATATATATGAGCAGATTACCCCATGCTCGAACCAGCTCAGGTGTGGCTTGTAGCAGCGTGAGAAGCAGGACGGCGAGGAGAGAGGATGACCTGCGAGAACTACGATCCTTGCTTCCCTGACCAGCCCGTGGTGGATCGTTACCTTGCGATATGGGCCATCCAACCTAGTTTTCGGGACAAGCCCGCCTTCATATGGACCCAGGATGCTCCCAGTGGCTTGACATGGACCTCCATCACCTACTCCGAGCTCGACAATGCAGCCGAAGCCATGGCTTCGCAGCTCCTCTGCACCCTTAACAGAGGAGACTCCCTTCTCTTACTCTGCTCTCCCGGCCTCCGACTCGTCAAACTCCTCTTCTCCTGCCAACGAGCGGGCATCGTCGCCGTTCCCGTAATCCCGCCCGACCCTTCGGCCTTCTCCCCAGCTTGCCGCGGCCCGGCCCACCACCACCTTCTCCGCGTCGTCTCTCAGGTCAAACCCAATGCTGTCGTCGCCGATCGACACTATATCGCTGCGGTGACTGGTTCTGTATCGTCCAGTGATGATCGACTGGGCCACCTGCTGCAGAAGCTACGGTGGCTTTCCGTGGAACACTTGGACGATGAGTGCCCTCGTGCCGCTGCTTCAAGCTTAAGCCCCTCTCCGTACTTGGGTTGTGGACCGGGTGACACCTACCTCGTCCAGTACACCTCCGGCACGACTGGGATACCCAAGCCGGTGCTCGTCACGGCCGGCGCAGCAGCGCACAACGTGCGGGCGGCGAGGAAGGCCTACGATCTCCAGCCCAGCAGCGTCGTCGTGTCCTGGCTGCCCCAGTACCATGATTGCGGCCTCATGTTCCTTCTGCTTACCGTCGTCGCTGGGGCCACTTGCGTGCTTGCCTCCCCGAGTGCCTTCTTGCACCGCCCTCGCCTTTGGCTCGAGCTCGTCACGGAGTTCCACGCGACTTGCACCCCCGTGCCCGCCTTTGCGCTGCCTCTGGTGGTGCAGAGAGGCGGGATCAACCACGGGAAGCTGCCTCTCAAGCTGGGAAGCTTGAGGAACCTGATTCTGATCAACGAGCCCGTATACAAGTCTTATGTGGATGAGTTCGTCAAAGAATTCGCAGCTGCTGGAATCGATCCTTCGTCCGTCGCTCCTTCTTACGGACTGGCGGAGAACTGCACGTTCGTCTCCACTGCATGGCCAAGCGATGAAGGATGCCGCAGTCGTTACCCCAACATGCCATCCTACAACAGGTTACTGCCCTCTGCCAGGCTGGGTTCCCTGTCCTCGTCTGCCAGCGAAGGAGCAGATATCGATATCGTCGTCGTCGATGAAGAGACCTGCGAACCTGTAGATGACGGTGTGGAAGGAGAGATATGGGTGTCTTCTGCAAGCAACGCATCCGGCTACCTCGGCCACCCATCCCTGACCAGGGAAGTGTTCCATGGCAGGCTACGCGGTGAAACCGGCAGGTGCTTCGTCAGGACCGGCGATCAAGGAGTCATCGGAGGAGAGGAGAGGTATCTCTATGTCACCGGCCGGGATTCTGACGTGATCAGGACGCACGACGAAAGAAACCAGTGCGTGCACGCGCACTACATCGAGAGTGCAGCATATAGCAGCAGCTCAAAGCAACTCAGGGGCGGTTGTGTTGTCGCATTCGATGCGGAACAACTGGTGGTGATGGCAGAACTACAGAAGAAGAAAGAGGAGGAAAGGGGAGTTGACGTCTACAGGGAGATATGCGAGAAGATAAGAGAGGGTGTGAGGAAAGAAGAGGGAGGCCGAGTTGGGTGGGTGGCGCTTGTGGAGAGAGGGAGCATACCGAAGACAACGTCCGGGAAGCCCAGGAGATGGCTGGCGAAGCAGAAGCTGTTGGAAGGCAGCCTCCGCCCGGTGTACGAGGCCAGGTTTGTGGCGGGGCGCCACGAAGCATCTGCAAGAGATGGAGGGGAGGGGGGAGTCAGACAAGGAAACGTAGCTTCGTTGATGCCATACCGACGTCGAATCCGCAGGTTATTTCTGCTTTCCTTCCTTTGAAGAGAGGTATGATGGAGGAGGAAACGAAGCATCTGCACTGTTCTTGCTACTTGGTTTTCTATCAGATCAAGAGCCCATTTCCTCAATCAGAACAAGCCTATTTGAAGCACGATTCTTCTCTGATTTCAGAGAACCTGAGTTGTAAGAAAACTAGAGCTAAATCATCAATGCAACACAGATTGGAAATCAAAGCTGGTGTTTCACTGCACTCAGAATCGGACATTGCAGCGAGGACCAGCTTGTTGATTTGGATCAAAACTTTTTCCTCTGTAATTTATGGATCCCCTAAAGAATTACCAGAGTAATAAGAATTATGATGGCGTGAGCCATAAGGATTCAGGAACAGAGTGAGCTTCCATAGATATATATTTACAGTCTACAAGACAAGACGCGGCTTTATGTCTGCCGTCGGCATGTGTACAGCGTAGAACGGAAGAGAGGCGAGGAGAAGATACAGATGAAGAGATGCAGATGACTTGTGATAAGATCAGGGATGGCCGTATCTTCTAGTTCTGACTTCTTGGCTTCACTCCAGCTGATAGATACTTCGTCCTGTCTGAAAGAACAGAAGGTTCAGTGGACGGTGTCTCTCAACTGAAGTGTGTCTAATTCAACTTGATGGGATGTTTTGATACAGTGGACATCGTAGAAGTGGATGACAGAACGTAGGAGAAGGACGAGGAAGATTGGAAGGAAGAGTGAGGTACCTCCGTGGGCAGAGGAGGAGGAGGAGGGTTAATGGGCATGAGGCAGTTGGCCCGTCTCGATGCGAAGGATGTCCTCCACCAGCAGTTCGTAGTGGCGCTTCACCTCCTCCGCCGACTTCCCGCCGACGGCGCGGGCCACGTTGTGCCGAGGAAGGAGAAGGCGGAAGGCAATCCCTGCAATCATGTGGGTTGGCATGGAGAGGCGGCAGTGCTTATAAGCAGGAGGGTGGTGGAGGCAAAGGGAGGATCGCAGGATGCGGGAAGAGAATAAAAAGATTGTGAATTGATGGAGTGCAGAATCCCATTGTTCCGCTGCAATCACCTCCAAATCTTCCTTTCTTCTCATAAATGCATGCAAGCAATGCAAATTGCAGCTCCCTTTTAGGAAGCTACTCATCATAAATGTTGGAGATTCAACACTCTGGAAGATAAAGATCTATCTACTAGAGAAACAAGAGGATGAATCGGAAGGCAACTTGCTAAAGACTGCAGGAACAACTTTGGAAGGAATCAGAACCACCAAAAAGGGGTCCGGCGGATACAGATTCCCGGTGATTGCGAGAATCCTTATCATGTATTATTTGGCCCGCCAAGCCCTCCCTTTCCATGACCGCAGGGTTGGTGCTCTCCTCCTGCAACTCCTCTGAATCCATGGCAATGGCAATCCTCATATGTTTAGATCAGCTGATTCCAAGATACAGTTCGTTCCATATTCAGTGACTGGGGGAGTCAGCGAGAAAGCCGGGTTTCTTATTGCATGGTACGGTGACGCGTGGGTCAGCCGCTCGTCCGTGCAAGCGGTGGGGAGGGAAGAAAGGGAAAGGATGGATCCGATGCTAAAGCTTTGGAAGGAGATCAATGTTCTACTTAGCACCTTTAGCCAAAAACACGAGATGCGGAATTCCTTCCTTTGGTCTGAATCCAATGGAGAGAGCCAAAGGAAAGAAAGCTAAGAATCCAAGTAGGACAGCGGGAGAGGAAGTTGATCGATCTTTAGAAGCAGAAGCTCGAAAGGAAGTAGAAATCTACAGCGTTGAATGTTACTGTTTAACCACGGTTCTGCTGCATGTAGGATGAAACTAGTGACAGAAGAGAAAGTAATGTCACGGAGGACCAAAATTCTTAAGATATATATATATATATATATATATATATATATATACATGAATCACCCATGCTCCAACAAATCATACAAGGGATGTTATATGATGGAGCAGTTTTATTTAAGTCATGTGATATTATCTGTTTACACAGGATTAATCTCTCCTAAATTTTGTTGGTCTGATCTATAAAAGAAAAGACTTTTAAATGAAGTATTTAACTCGAGATCGCACGATTAACTATTTTAACAAGCATTTGATAGATAATATAAATTATAAATATAGATTAAGTTTTAGACGTGCGACAAAAGGTGCTTCGCCATGGTCAAACGTATTCACTAGTATCCATATGACACTACTGTATAATAAGATAATGAATTAGTCCTAAACATTAACCCGAAGGTCTATCTAGCCATGTACCACCTAGGTAGCTCCTAGATGTTGTGTTGATTGATACTCCGCACTACTTTACGAAGCTAGAAAGCCTCTAAAATGACTACTTGGATTATTTATTTCTGGACAGTTTTGTCTCTACATAACGATTGCATATAACCTATGTTTACAAGCCTGAAACAGTCACAAAAAAGAACCAAAATGGACTATCAAATCAATTGTAAGCCTTTTATATATTGTGTAAAGTATGAATAAAATTAAAAGACATGAACATATACTATCATTACATCAAACATCATATTTATAACTTTATCCGTGACATTCTCTCTTTGTTATTCCTTCGACGTCCTCGTCGAAGTCTTTACAAGCGTTGCATCTCCTCACCTTTATTGAATGTTTAATTTTCTGATCTAATTACAATGCAGTTCTTGGCTCCCAAGTGCTATCCGTCATTATTATTGAGTAATCAAACTTTGATTCGTCATACTATTTCAACTCCTCAGCCTTTTTTATGATCAAGTGTTCTCCCTCTATGAGAGCAAGGGGTTGATGACTCCACAAAAGTTTCACCTCTATGGTACCATAGCGCTGTCATGCCCATGGACCTACTACCTGTCGCCTTGCATCTGTATTCCTTTCTTTGCAATTAGTATATTCGCCTCTATGACATTGTAACACTCCTCTGAGTCTACCTCCATTCTAACCGATGCTTAGTTTTGTGTAGCTAAGTTTCTCTAGACTCATCGTTGCTTCCTTGCCCCTTTTGACCACATTCTTTTACACATTTGTATACTTAGAGTGGTTCCCCTTGGTCGTTGAAAAGACTGACTACAAGTCTCATGCATGACTTCTGCCATCATGTTATAGGGCTTACACTGATCCTATTCTCTTTTGCATCCTTGGTAATAATGTTCGCTCACTCGGTCTTATCCACTGACTTGTCAGGCTCTCTTAAGCAAATATGAGCTCTAGAGTAATCCAACTCTTATATTACTTCAATCATATTTTTATATGATCAAGTCCCCCCATGAGATTCATTGGTACTTATATTTGGAATTCCTCCTTGGTGGTATATATCCCTTATATGTTAATGACTAAAGCTTTTATCCGATGTAAAATTTTATGCACATACAAAGGCCTACCTCTACGGTATTATGATGTTCATTTCTTGAATCCATAGTCCTTCTTATCATCGTATTATTCACTAAAATGAAGCTCTCAATAGCTCCCGATTATACCTCCGTATGATCAAGTCCCTTATTGGACTAACCTAGTATTTATCACATTACCTCAAACCGTTCTATTATGAGCTTTGTGGGATAAACTTAGACTATAATCTCTCTATGTGTGGCTTTTACTAATACATCATAGGGTTGTTGCTACCTTCAATTGTGTTCACTCTTTTAGCAATCGACCTTTATCCACTCGCTCTCAGGTCACACCCGGATAAAATGTAACTCTAGGATAGTCCGTCACCTAATAGTTCTCGAAATCAATCAACTTTATTGAAATTGGTATGTCATCATCTAGATCCTAGTCACTTGCCCCTTTCATAATCTCCACTGTACATTACTTCTTTCGTGGCAACTCGAATGACAACACCATGACATATTCTTTAAGAGTATATGCCTCCACGTCATCTTGCCCCATGCCAAGGCCTTTTGATCCCAATTTCACTTATGCAAGTTGAGTCACATTAGTTCCATTGTCAAATACTTCGTCGACATAAGGTGCATGTGCCTCGAAGCTCTCTTTGACTTTAGTACTATACAAGATGAGTCTGCTCCATCAAAATAAGGGACCCATAGAACGACATGATCTCACGCTTACTTATGTAAGAGTTCATGTCCTTGACATTTGTTCAAGGAAAGATTTGTGCCTCTGCTTCATATTCCGTCTTTTACATCGACTCCCTTCATGCGACTTGGGTACTTTAGCAAGTTCTACACAAGTTATTTCGCTTCTCGGTTTATATTGAGTTATTGGTAGCCCTTGTGCTCACCATTTTATGGGACATCCCTCTATTGAGTTTGATATCCATATCGACTCTAAGCGTGTTATCATTTGGTGTTGCCTTAGGTTATTCCTTCAATTGGTCTCGCAATGTATCCACCAACACATTATCTCATATAAGATTATACGATAACTCCTTGCCGCTTGCTCGGTCCATTGAACTTTATGGAGTAATTGTCTTGAGGTATCCCTTCTCAACATTTGCGATCTATTGCATATGATTCTCCCTCTAGAGAATCAGGACTTATCCCTCTTGGATATCTATCTTGTTAGAGCAACTTTTCTCTTCTATTTTTCCCTCTAGAAGTTTTGGAGACCACCATCTCCTTGGACTACTCCGTTTTGCTAAACAAATTGTATACTATTCCATCTCCCACAAATGCACTTGCTAGATTGTTACTTTTTGTTAATATAACCACCGCTACGTCCCTCGAGGCCTAATAACATACTGAACTTGCTACATATGTCAATCGCTTATGGACATATCCATCTCATGGTGAAGAGAAAGTTTTAATGCTCTATGATGTCGAGTTTCGATCGCCTTAGGATGGTCATGGACAGTCCATCATCCGCATATAAGCTCTTGTAAGTATCGAACTCTTTAAATTAATTATTCCCCTCACCTATCGCTCTTTGCACGGTCTCATCTTTTGCCAAGTGTTTGACTTGCCTTAAGCACTGTTAAGTTCGATTGCCAACATCGAGCTGTAACTCGAATTTAGCCATCCTAACCTGTGTACTACACGTTCTTTCCAGCTCACTTGTCCTTGTGGTGCCTCTCACACAA